TGTTGCCATGTGGCAATCACAACATCTTTGTCATTGCCTGTGATGTGAAACTGGCATGTTGTCACTTCAATTGAATTATGTGCACTGTTGGTGCAACATATGTTGATCTTAATTGCTGTTTAAAATGTCATCAAAATGTAACACTATGATTTAGGATTGAAACAAATAGTTATCATGTATGCAGAATGGGATGAGAACAAATCAGCAGGGTACAAATTTGATATTTGTGAAGCAACTATTTGTTACCAGATGGATGACCCTAAATTTCAAGTTTTCTTGGAAAGCAACAGTAACATGCTTTATAGGATGTAAGAAAGGAAAATGCTCACCAGGAGATAAAGTTGTATTATATTTTGTTACTGAAATTCATGCAAAAAAAAAAAGATTGCCTGCCATACACAAAGCAACAGTAGCAAGAGAAATTGCTAAATTTCTCATAATAGATGAAAGAAATCTCAGCACAATAAGAGGCCTGGAGTGAATGATTCATGCATTGTACAGTATTATCATTAAGATGTACAGCATCAATTTATCAGAAACATCCTGCTGACTAAACAGAATACACTTAACTTCCAGCAGGATGCAAGTGAGGAAAAATGATAATATGTGTTTACTCAAAGAGGTAATGCTATACATAAGGGAGTGGTTTTCCTTGGCAAGACTTAAAATTATACTGCCAATATAAAAGCATCTTTAAGGAGGCCAAGATTAGGAATTTGGGGTATCAAGAGCAGCATATCACTGTGATCTTATGCCTAACTGCTGATTGCTGAAGTTGCCGCCATATTTAATTTATGTAACTATAAAACAATGTCTAAGAATAAGAACTTTTTTAAAGGTATTATTGAGAGTGAACCACAATAGCAGATGGATAATGGCTGAGGTGACAGAAAACTGATTAGATGTCTTCTGGAAGAGACATCTGAGAATCTACCATATATTCTAGTTCTCAATGATTCCACAGACATCTGCCAGAAAAGTTAAATAGGAATCTCATCTATTAGTGATGCGGCTGTAAATCATGAAGGTATGACTAGACTATTACAGCTCTTCAGCATTTCAGTCAACAAACCATTTAACCATATGTAGAAAAAATAAGAGTCCTGGTTCTTGTCTGAAACCTTCTACTGAGAAATTTTGGAAGGATCAAGAAAGTGCCAGCGTCAAACTTACAAAATGGAGACAGTAATTGTGCACACTCTACAGAAATATGCATCACTGACATTCTTGATGGCCCAGAAGACATTATTTTATGGAAAAATATGGGTGCCAATGAATCTAAGTTTAAAAGAGATTCAGAAAAATTGAACTCTAAAGAGAAGTCATTTTAGGAAGACATTAGCCAACTTATTACACGTATACTTCCCCTTTCATATATGTATACAGTACTGATGTATTAGTAAATATCTATATCTCAACAAATTTAAAGTGATTGAAGTCATTCAGAGCATGTATTCTGGTTAAAATTGAATTATGCTAAAAATTCGCAAAAAGGAAAAGATAAATAGAAAATCCTTATGTTTTGAAATTAACCAATACATTTCTAAATAAGCCACCTTAGGACAAAGATGAAAACTTGAGGGAAGTTAGATGATTGAAAAGAAGGAAAATTCTATCAATATCCATATAATGTATGATTTGTGTATGCAGAAAATTCAAAATAAGCCACAGATAAAAAATTTAGAATTGGTAAGAGATGTTACAAAAGCATTAGAATCAGAGTTTAGCAAGGTTGCTGGATTCATAATCAATTATATTTCTATAGAACAGCAAAAACAGTGAAGAAAAAGATATTTATCCTAATATCAAAAATACCAAACTACATAGAAATAAACCTAATGAAACATGTAAAATTATAATGTTTAATAGAGACACATTAAAGAAGACATAAATAAATAGATTAGAACATAAGAATAAAGATGCCATATCTCCCTAAAATTTATCTAAATATTTAATGCCATGCAAATTCTCAACCAGGATGTGTGTGTGTGTGTGTGTGTGTGTGTGTGTGTGTGTGTGTGAGAGAGAGAGAGAGAGAGAAAGAGAGAGGGGGAGACTTGATAAGTTGATTCTAAAATGTAAACAGAAATACAAATATTCTACTTGACCTCAAGACTTAACTATAAAGCTGTAGTTAAAAAAAAACAAAAAGCTAATCTATTGATGAAGCAGAGATAGAAACATAGGTTCTGGAATGGAGTCCAGAAACAAGCCCACCCACAAATGAACACTTGATTTATGACTGAGTTGGCCCAGCAGAGCAGTGGTGAAAGAATGAGATGTTCAGTAAATGTTATTGAAATTTGGTAGACATATGGAAAAAAGTGAAAGAAAACTATCATTATTAACAAGCTCAAAATTAATTACAATAAATGGTGCAAAACCACAAAGAAAAATCTCCATGCCCACAGCTTAGAGAAAGATTTCTTAAATCATAAGAAGCATAAAGGAAAAGACTAATAAATGATTTTATTAAAATTTAAAACCTCTTCATTGACACTAGAAGATAGGGACAAGACAAGCCAGAGAGTAGAAGGTGTTTGCAATACATCTGCATGAGAAACTGATACCCTACAGAAAATGAGCAGCTTCTCTTTCTCTGGCATGCTTCTTCCTTCCCCCCACCAACACATACTTAAGGGTTTGTTTTGTTTTTATTTTGAGGTTCATATACTTGGTAACTGCTGAAAGGTGAATATGAGTTATGGCTTTGATACTTAGGAAAATAGAAGTGCTCATCTGGTACTGAATCTATAATGATCAATTTTCCCTAAGATGTCTTTTTCTCATGTGTTTAAGTGGGGGACTTAGGAAAAATGCCAAAGGAAAGTAAAAAGATATCCTAGATAAAAACAGTGGTGATTCCTGGCTCTTAACAAAGAAGAAAAAGTGAGTAATTTAACTTTACAAAGAATGGGGGAAACTGAATCTGAACAGGAAGGTAGAAGAAGTGCAAGTAAGGAAGGAAAATGAAGAAAGCGTCAACACAACTGAGAAATGTTGAAAGGTGGGGCCTAAATGATCGGCATAGAAATACTCCAGTAACAGTGAGAAAAACAGGCGAATAATAGTAATTCTTGGGTTCTTAGAGGAACTCTAAAAAACAAGAGGATCCTCGTCTTAAATGGCAAGAGTTTTCAAGTTTACATGAATAACAGAGCTTCTCAAATTGGCCCTGGGAGAAGCCCTTTATTTTTAACTATGGAATAATATTAAAATAAATCGAAGGCAAAATGAGAAAACATAGCTTTTTTTGGAGAGTTGAATATAGGTTGCATGAAAATAAAATCAACACATGGGAAAATTAACTGTGGGAACAAGTTCTAACTAGAGAGAATCTGAAATTGTTGACATGCAGAAATTTAAAATAATTGGTATCCCCGCTTCATAACTAGAATCGTTTGTTATGATGCAGGTATTTATTTCTTTACCTTCCGAGTTTCAGTCAATTTATTGTTGTTGTTTTCACTTGGAGACTTCTGATTTCAAGAGAAAAAAGAAAGAGTTTGGAATACTGTATAATATGTAAGAGCAGGAATTCAGATAGCTTGTGTTTACTCTTGTGTTACAAATAGAAGTGGTAATTAACATACATCATTTAATAAAACAATAGAAGTGGTGATGAACATACCACTTTAATAAAATTGTGGCAGCAAAGCCAAAAAAATTTTTAGAACCAATAACCTTATTTTTTCCCTTGAAAAATCTTCTAGTTTATATCTGTATAATCTACTTTTTGTTTGTTAATTTTCCACTTTGTGGTTTTTGTTTTACTTTTTCTGCTGCTAATCTTTTGGTCATTTCATAAATATTAGCACCAGTTTCAGAGAGGAGAGCCGAGAGAAACTAAATAAATGCATTTTTCTACTGTGCTTCCTGTTAATCCTGCCCTGAAAAAAGTCAGGAACAAAGAAATTTAATACTATTGACTAAAATGATGATGTTTTTCAGATCAGTCCAATAGAGTAAGTTTAGAAAACTCAGCTACCAAGGCCTTGCAGGCAAGGTAAATGAGTGCTTGGGACACTCACAGACAAGGTAACTGAGTGCTTGGGACACGCATTGGTGGGCACACACTTTCTCCAAAGGGATTCCAGTATTCCAACTTATGCAAAGTAACTGATGGCTGAATTAGGCCCACAGGCAGCCAGTTTACAGTATCTGCATCATTAAACTTGACAATAAAAGATGTATATCCTTAGCTGTCACAAAAATATAGTTGATGAAACAATGTATGATATAGTTTCACTCTAGTATACTAATGAAGTTATGAGCTAGTTGACACGAACAGTACCAAATAGTGACAGAAACAAATGCTTTAATCAAACCATAACACACAAGTAACAAGTGAAAAATTGAGGCCACTGGGTCATGATAATTTATAGAAAAGTAACTTTCGTGTAAAACCTCCTGAACTTTGGGAGGCTGAGGTGGGCAGATCACCTGAGGTCAGGAGTTCGAGACCAGCCTGATCAACATGGAGAAAACCCGTCTCTACTAAAAACACAAAATTAGCCGAGCATGGTGGCACAGGCCTGTAGTCCCAGCTACTCGGGAGGCTGAGGCAGCAGAATCGCTTAAACCCAAGAGGCAGAGGTTGTAGTGAGCCAAGATCTCACCATTGCACCCTAGCCTACGCAACAAGAGCAAAACTCTGTCTCAAAAACAAAACAAAACAAACAAACAAAAATCCTGCCTGAAACTTAAATTGACCCTCCTAAATGTGTGTTCAGGATCTTTCCTAAAAAGATGCTCAAGAAACACTTTTCATTGTTAAAAGTTATTTTTGAGGACAAAGAGAGAAATATTCTCTTTAGGGGTGTGTGTTTACAGTATAAGTTTCTGTAGCTTTCTAATGTAACAGATTATTGGAACAAATCCTAAATAATTTTACATATTTATTGAGAGATTGTTGTTGATTTTCAAGAGGTGATATTTTCTTATGATGCATATATTTACGCTTTCATGTTAATTATTTTTGCTCATTGTTTTTTTTTCAGGGAAAATTTCATGGAAATCCAATGCATGTAGCTGTGGTTATTTCGAACTGTTTAAGGGAAGAGAGGAGAATATTGGCCGCAGCCAATATGCCTGTCCAGGTAATATTTTCTGAGATCTTGTTAACACTTTGAACTCAATTTTTCTGATAGAAATTTTTCTGAAACAGAAATTCTCATCTTTGGCAGGGTACAGTGGCTCACACATGTAATCTTAACACTTTGAGGGATCAAAGTGGCAGGATCACTTAAAGCCAAGCATTTGAGACTAGTCTAGGCAATGTAGGAAGACCCTGTCTCCACACACACACACACACACACACACACACACACACACAAAATAAAAATTAGCTGGGTATGGTGACACATACCTATAGTCCTAGCTCTGTGGAGGCTAAGACAGGAGGATTACTTGAGCCCAGCAGTTCAAGGCTGCAGTGAGCTATGTTCATACCACATAATCCACCCTGTCTCTTATAAAGGAAGAAAGGAAGCAAGTAAGGGAGGGAGGGAAGCAGGAAGGGAGGGAAGCAGGGAGGGAGGGAGGGAGGGAGACATTTTTAAAGAATCTTTCCAGCCTCTTTCACTTATGTTAGTGGTGCCACCAACCTTCCAGTCACTTGGAATAAAGCTCTTAAGGGTCATCTTTGAGTAGTTCCTTTTCTCCACCCCCATGCTAAGACAATTACCAAGTTTCTCCAGAGTGTATGCCTGGAATCCTAGCTATACATCCTTTCCTGTTTGTCCTGGCCACACTCTGTTCTAGGGTCCTACAATATCAGCCTAGGAATACAGTAATCACCTCCAAGCTGAATTCCTGTCATTCCCACTCTGCCTCTCCCCGAATATTTCTCTCACAGCCTGGTCTTGCTCTATACCCTTCAGTAGCTTCCATTTCCTTCCTCACAGGCTAAACCAGTCCATGAGCAGGAATTTCATCTTACAGAAGCTCCACAAATTCTTGCTTGTTAATTGCATGAATGTTGGACTCCATGTTTGGGTCCCCTTCCACAAACATTCCCTTTGTGGAAGCTGTTTTTCTCTATCCTGGATTTCCCCTCTGGAGTCCCCTTCCACACTTTCTCATGGAAGCCTGTCTTGCCTTCCTAAACTCCATCTCTCTCTATTCCCTTCCACTCACAGCTTCAGTGGAAGCTGCTTTCCTCTCCTGGATTCCATCTTTCTGGATTCTCTCACTCTGTGTGAGAGTTAGCTGTTTCTTTCTCTCTCCTTCTCCTCTTTCTCTCTCTAAATAAATCACTTTCTACAAACACAAACAAAAACAAAACAAAACAAAAAAATTGTGTAAATGTACTTTACCCTAACATATTAGATTATATTTTATCCCATTTTCCTGGATGAATTCAGAGTCCTCACTGAAGACAAGTAGAGGAGTCAATGCAATCTTTAATGAGTATTCTTTTCAGTTAATCCTTACAGAAAGGAAAGACTAATATGTAAATAATTTTCCAAGTGACATCCTCCATAATTTAATAAATTATCCATTATATTTATTTTTGAAAGTCTAACAAAAGTATATTTTCATTTTTTTATTTTTTCTTGAGATAGAATCTTGTTCTGTCGCCCAGCTGGAGTACAGGGGCGTGATCTCGGCTCACTGCAGCCTCTGCCTCCCAGGTTCAAGCAATTCTCCTGCCTCAGCCTCCCAAGTAACTTAGATTACAGGCGCCCGCCACACCTGGCTAGTTATTGTATTTTTAGTAGAGACAGGGTTTCACCACATGGCCTAGGTTGGTCTCAAATTCCTGACCTCAAGTGATCATCTCACCTTGGCCTCCCAAAGTGCTGGGATTACAGGTGTGAGCCACCACGTGTGGCCAAAAGAGTCTTTTTTTAACTCAAAAAATTCTCCTGGTTTGTCATTGTCAGGTTATGGCTGTTTTGGGAGGACTTTGAAGTTGTAACAACTTTATTTTTTAGATGAAGAAGGATGGTATTTTTATTTAATTTTAAAGCTATAGCAAGTTTCTAAAGTACATACAGTTTGATTCACCGCCTTTGGGGTAAAATTCAAGATACTTTTACAAATATAAGGTATTCTCAGATGTATTCTCAGCTGTCCTTTTTTTTACCTCTCTTATCTCTAGGTATTCGTCTGTGCATGTGTGTGTGCATGTACAAGTGTTCTCTTCAAATGTCAGTTATCAGTCAAAACATTTTTCTGAGTATATGCTCATCAACGTCACTCTGAAAATAATTTGCCAGTACCACTCACTACCACAAAAGAAGCACTGCTCACTAAATTTCAACTAGGTAGACAAATAATGGAGGCTGAAGTGGGAGAAAGAGTATTTTATAAAGGCTTTGCCAATTGGAAGGGTGTGGTATAGTTGAAGAATATCTGATTAAGAGTCAAGGACATGGGTTCTACTTGAGGTTACTGCACTGAATTTACTGCAGATTTTAGTTATCAACCTTTCTAATCATAGCTCCCCACCCAGCTTAAGATTAAGGGGCTGCTTACATCTCGAACTCTCATCTCTAATATAGAACTTCTTATCTAAGGAACACACTCAGTGTCATTATTAGAGTAGCTAAGACGCTGTGCTTGGAGAAACTGTCTTTTTGCTTAACAGGCTAACATTTTTACATTTTCTTTCATAAACTCCCTTTGTTCTAGAGTAAAAACAAATCTCATTGCAGCAGATTCAACATCCCCAATTCTAAATTTAGGCCCAATTTAATGTAGTTTCATTATGCCATTTAAAAAATTACATATATTGGTTTTATATGATTTCAAAAGTTATATCGATGTTATAGAGAGAGACAAAATTTTAAAAATCATTGAATTATCTCTAATTGTGATCTCAAATTGTCTCTGAATATCACTATTTAGAGATAACACATTGATAAGATTTCCGTGCATATGTTCTTCCACTCACATGTACTTGAGTTTACATATCTATACATCTATCCATACATTTTCAGGTGTATTTATACATACATGCATATACATGTTCGAGCAATAGATATCACATATATATTTATGTTTATTTATATTTATATTTATATATGGTGGGGTTTTTTTCTTTCTTTTTTTTTTAGAAACAGAATTTCATTCTGTTGCCCAGGCTGAAGTGCAGTGACACAATCTTGGCTCACTGCAACCTCCGCCTCCTTAGTTCAAGCAGTTCTGCCTCTGCCTCCCAAGTACCTGGGACCACAGGTGCATGCCACCATGCCCAGCTAATTTTTGTATTCTAGTAGAGATGGGGTTTCACCATGTTTCCCAGGCCGGTCTCGAGCTCCTGAGCTCAAGCAATCCACCCACCCCTGCCTCCCAAAGTTCTAGGATTATAGGTACGAGCCACTACACCCAGCCTATATATGGTATTTTTATAATCTCCTCTAGTCTTCAAATTTTAACACTTTAAATTTTTTGTCATTAAATAGTTTTCTACAGCATGATCTTTTTAATGGCTGCAGAGTATTCATATCACATTGATCCAGACGTCAGTTCAAATTGTGTGCTGTATGTATTGCATTTATCATAAACCTTTTCAAAACCAGTGAAATTTCAAGACACTCTTTTTCCAGGGGCCTCTAGAGAAATCCTTACAAAATTCTTCAGTTTCAGAAAGACAGAGGAGTGTGGAACACAAAGTGGCTGCCATTAAAAACAGTGTGCAGGTAAGTGACCTTATACAGATACCTAGGAAGGCTGGCTACAGTTCCCAAATAACTATGCATCATTCTCTCATGTGCTCAAAGTTCATGTATATAGAAGTCATAGGGCAATTTGTTAATAAGATAAATATCTCTCACATACTGTGTTTATATAAGAATATTTCTTTATGGGAAACATTTTAACTTCAACTTGAACTTCTTTCATATGGGGCTATTCAGGTGATCTATTTGTTCTTGAATGAGCTTTGCCAATTTGTATTTTTCAAGAAATGTGTCCACTGATCTAAGTTGTTTTACTGGCATAAAGTTGTTCATGTTTATTGTCATTTGAATATCTGTAGAATCTGTAATAATGTCACCTCTCTTATTTAATATAGATGAATTTTATTTTCTCTCTCTTTTTTTTTTGAAATGGAGTCTTGTATTGTTGCTAGGCTGGAGTACAGTGGTGCGATCTCAACTCACTGCAACCTCCACCTCCTGAGTTCAAGCAATTCTCCTGCCTCAGCCTCCCAAATAGCTGGGACTACAGGCTTGCACCACCACGCCCAGCTAATTTTTGTATTTTTAGTAAAAGTGGATTTTCACCATGTTGGCCAGGATGGTCTTGATCTCTTGACCTTATGATCTGCCTGCCTCAGCCTCCCAAAGTGCTGGGATTACAGGTGTGAGTCACCGTGCTCAGCTTTGTTTTCTCTTTTTTTCCCTAATCAGTCTATCTAGAGATTTATCAATTTTATTGATCTAGTGAAGATGCCTTAAATAAGACTTTCTGTCTTTAAAATAGGATGTATATAAAATAGAATGGTAATTTCCTTTCAAAAACTTACATAGCATTCATTTCCTTGCCATTTATAAAAATAATAATTCCATAAAAATAAATAAACTATAAATCATTGTCCCAGCCTCTGATTCCAGGAAACCTGGCCTGACTTTCAGGCAAAGCAGTGCTTTTCAATCAGTGTAATTCTCCCACTTATACCATAACCTCAGTTTCTCTATGGAATGTTTGGAATGTAGCTCTCAGATCATTCAGAGAGCTTTTGAAGAATGTCACTGGGTATTTTCACCTTTTACAATTACTGATGACAATATAATCTAGAAGCCCTTTAATTACTTACCATAGAATTGACTCTTCAGAGTTCTGGTATTAGTTTAATATGCTTTTTATTAGAAGATTCTGCAAGATAGTGCCTTCTTTCAGCTTTTAATTAATTTTGAGATCAAAAGACGGAACCACAGTATATCTCTGCTTTAAAGCGATCATATTTTATTTTGGTTCATTTTCTCATGTGTGTGGGTTCCATGACTTTAGTAGCCCAGAGTCTTCCATGGGACTTAGTTCTGCAGAAACTTAGCATCAAAGTGAAATGCTACAAGTGGTATTGGGGTATAGTGAAAAGAAGGAGTAAAGACTGAAGCTAGACCAGACTAGATTTGAATGCTAGCTCGAGCATGTATTATTGTATGACTTTGAGCCTCAGTTTCCTCACAGAAAAAATGAAAATTGTTTACTTTGCAGGTAGCTGAAAGGATAATCTATGTAAGGTATAGGCACAGCACAGGTTGCTCAAAATTGGTAGCTGTTATTACTATGGATGGGTAGACAGTATATCATGTAGTCAATAGCTATTGCTTTGTTTCTTTTCTAAGGCTTATAAATATAAAGAATGCCATTAACAGAATGAGATAACAAACAGGGATTAGAAGAGTAATAATAGCTACTGCTTATGAAGCATATATTTGGTACCAGGCACTGCTTTAAGCAGTGGAACTCATGTATCCTTATAACAACTTCTTGAGGTAGATACTGTTATCCTCCTTTCTCCCCCTACCCCCACACGCCTTTTTACAGGAGAAGAAGCTGAAATGCAAAGACATTTGCCCAAGTCCATGCAGCTAGTAAGTCATAGAGATGGAACACAAATTCAGATTCTCTTACTCCAAATTCTATACTTTTTGTAACCAACAAGTTAAAATTTGGATTAAATTTAATTCTGCTTAAAATTTAAAATTTGTGATGAAAGTGCTGTTGTGGTAGATATGTGTTTCCTTAGAGAAGACTTCTTGGAATCAGCAGGCAGTAGAAAGTGTGACTTTTCTGAGAAGAAAAGGAAGTAAAGTGGTCTGAATCTAGGAAGCACAGCAAGTCTATCTTTGGTTAAGGGAGGGGTCAGGGGTGGACTGCTGGACTTCCCACAAACTTCTCGCTGAACACCTGAGTGATGAGTGAGTTACTTCACATCTCGTAGCCTCTGCTTCTTCCTCTGTAAAAGTGAGGATAACCCACTTCATGGGTGTTGTGAGGACTGCAGGAGATAATATGTAAAAAGAATTTAGCCCAGATCTTGACATTTACTATTATATCTGAGCAGGAAACCATCACCAGGTTTGGAGAAAAGTAAAGTAAAAATCTTAAAGACAGAATAACAGGAGACACAGAAGAAACATAGGCATATTTCAGGAAATTTTTTGAAAAAGTATTTAAGCTGAATTGTCATAAACGACAGCATATTTAAATGAAGATTTAAGCAAAAAGTGCTAATTGATACATTAGTACAGAGTTATACGAAATACTCAAGACTTCTGAAAGGGCAAAAATATTCATATTCTCCAATTTAAAAAGATTATATGCATAGCATCATTTGGAACTAATTAAGAAATGAGCAAGTAGATGCTGAAAGACTTCCAGGCAAGCAGAAAGAGAATAGCTGGAAGGGCAAGTTCAGTCTGGTTCTTTTAGCATTATTCAACTTTCATATGACTTAGTTCTTGAAAAGTGTGGGTTCATTACGGTCTTTGGTTGCTGTTGAAGACTGGAAGCACTAAACAGTGTTTTTAAATACTTATGATGTTGTTTGATTGACATGCTTAATGGTAACAGCAGAGTGAGTAAATTTTCTTTTGTGAAAGATGACAGAACAAGATACCAAGTACTTAGAAGACCTGCAAGATGAATTTGACTACAGGTATAAAACAATTCAGACAATGGGTAAGTTTTTGTTTTTCCTATAATTCTGCATAGGGACAAAAAGGCAGCTTGAGTAGAGTTTTTTTCACTGACAGAGTTGATAAATTTGATCTACTTCCTTAGGTGAGCCTAGGGAAATACAAGAAGTATTGTCTTGTTTTGCTTCTTCCTTCTGTCTGCATATAAATATGTGTGTGTGTGTATTAATAGATATACAACCAATTCTAAGTAAATTACCAGCAAATTCAATGTAAATTTCAAACTGAATGAGGAATTACTCAACTTCAGCATACATCTAAAAAATAAAAACCTTCTCCTATAGAATCAAAATATAATAATTATAAAAACAAAAGTAATAATAATTGCCTAACATGATCAGAGAATTACTAATATAACCCCTAAGTAGTATTTTAATAATACCATTTTCTAGGATTATAAAATAGAAATGTGTTTCATAGAAGAAAGCATGGAAAATAGACAAAAGCATTAAAAAATAAAAATCTGATGAAATCTCACTATCTACAGATAAATACTGTCAAAATATATTTCCTTCCAGCCTTTTCTCTGTATGTTCACATACATACACATCTATGTATATATTTTTAAAAAATGAAATCAGGTTGTATATAATTTTGTGTACTGCATTTAAAGTTTTATTTTTAAGTATTTCCTCATGTCAAAAAGTCTCTAAAAGCATAATTTCAGTAATTGCATAAATGGCAAAATGTAAGGACACTGCAATTTATTTTACTATTTTTCTATAGTTAAACACTGAAGTTGTTTTCAACTAGGTGTTTTTCAAACAATGAAGGGAAAGAGAATATTTACAAGACCTAAGATTAACAAATAATAATAGATGAATAGTTAAAAGTATGTTGCAATTAATGGGACAATTGACAAAATTCTAATTAGGTCTAGTTTAGTTGATGGAATGGTGCTGATGTTAATTTACTTGTTTTGATCATTATGCTTACTATTTTTATGTATGAGAATAAAAAAACTAGGTGAAGGATATATGAGAACTCCGTACTAGTTGTGCAACTTTTTTGCATTTCTAAAATTATTTCAAAATAATTTTAAAGATAAAAACTTTTCATTCACAGAATTATCTTTGACTATTAAAATGTTGACTTAAAATGTATCTTGAAGAAAGTATGAATGATTGTCATCAAACATTTAACTTTTCATACATGAAGATGAGGTGTTTTGGGTTCTTCTCCTGATATGCTGACAATGCCTTGACTTCCAGGAAGTATTATTCAAAATCTTCACAATTATTTGTACATACAACTTTTCCATTCAGAAGAAATGGCACAAACATGGGTTTCATTATCAAAGGGGGAGTCCATGACCCTAAAAGGGTTTAGAACAAATACAAATTTAATCAAGTGATATTCATTAAAGGCAGCCTTATTCCAAATTTTATATGCAAACTACTAATTTTAAGGATAAGAATATTTTAACTTAATTTGTTATGATTTGAGTCACTTTTTCAGTGCTTCCTGTACATTATGAATTAAAATGATCATTTTTATCACCTAAATCCACAAATATTAACTTTGTTTGTTCCATCCTGTTATAAGTGAAAAGAAAAATACAAGGGAACCAAGTTATTGGTGAAGATGAGAAAGGTTACCTAAAGAAGTTTTCAGTTGCCAAAATGCTGTGTAAGCAAGATTTTGCTATGTATGGGATCTAGGAGTTAGTGAATTTGTGAATTATTACAAGCAGAAATGAGTTCCTAGAGATTATCCTCTTTCGTAGAGAATTTGCCACACTGTTGTTCTGGGGCCTCCTTTTCACAATTACAGAAGTCAAATCAGCATTCCCAGCCCTCATTTTTCATGAACATGAATGGTTGGTATAAACATTCACCTGCCATTGTAGGAGCAAAAAGGAAATCTTCCCCCTTCACCCTCTGATTGAATATGGACTAATAAAAGGTAGATCAATAGGAGAAAAGGGCATATAAATTTAACATGCACAGGATGGGAGAAGAGCGGGAGAATACCCATAATCCAATGGGGTACGGATGTTTTTATGCCTTGAATTTTAAAGTTAATGAATGGACCCAGTGCTCAGGTGGTAGTTAGTAAATAATTCTCTTGAATAATTGACTGGAACCTAAGAACAAACAATGGTTTGGGACAAAGTTTGGGCTCTAGGTGTGGTGTTTAATTTTCGGACTTTTCCTTTGTGATATGAATGTTAACCTTCTCTGGTTAATGAAATTTCAGGAAAGGGATCAAAGGCAATTGTGTTCCTCTTAAGGGTCCACTTTCTAGGCAGATCAGGGAGCTTCTGAACACTTCATCTGTGCTATGGAGAGATAGAGGATTGAGAGAGACCTTGAGGCTGCTGCTTATTTTGGGGTGTCATTTTCTGAGCCCCACCACTATGTCAATAAAGTTTATTTTGGGGTGTCATTTTCTGAGTCTCACCACTATGTTAACAAAGTTTAATGTTCAAATTAAATAATATAATGTTTATTTATTGCATGTATTTCCATGTAAAAAAGGATAAACCTTTTTTTTTCAGTCAGATATTTTTCTTAGTTACAACTCTGGCCCACTGCTAATTTTATGATGAGGCTAGCTCATTTTGAAAATAAAAGTGGGGGAAAGTAAAGAACTTAGTCTTTATTAGTTCATGAGACTACATAGATAAGACTGCAACTCTCGTCAGGCAGTTTCTCATAACTCCTGCATATGAAGCAGGGCAGGAGGGGTAGGTGAAGATAACAGAGAGTCAAATATAATTTAATCATGGGCACAAGGGGAGATCCTCACCTTCCTTACTTTTACCAAACAACCAAGTATATTATTAATGTAAAGGTATCCAGTAAGGAATCCATTATGGCAGCTTTATCTCCTCCATGCACCACCACCAAAACAAAACACCAAGTGAAGTTTTGTTCTGTCTATAATAGTTCATTTACAGACCTTCAGAATCTTTCCTGAAGGTCTGTAAAATAAAGAGGTCCTTTTCTGCATGCTTGGATGTAATTCTTTCTGGCAAAATGAGCAGACAGAGACTTCCAAGCTCACTCTAGTGAGCCCAATTAGTCTCTTACCACAAAGTTCTCTGGGCCAGAGCTGTTTTAGGATGGTGGATTGAGGCTGACTTGACTTTCAGGAATAGAGAGTTTTGACTTAGAGAGGACTCTAAATCTGATCTCTTTACCTTTGCAGATCAGAGTGACAAGAATAGTGCCATGATGAATCAGGAAGTTTTGACACTGCAGGAAATGCTTAACAGCCTCGATTTCAAGAGAAAGGTTAGTGAAGAATTTTAATTTTGACTTTTGCTTATTTTTCTCCTTTTTCTAAACTTAGTCTAACTGAAAAGAATCAAGCTGTCAGATTTTATCAGTTCCATTTACTGAGTGAAAAAAACGGCAAGGTTTCTAGGAACAGTCCCACACTGTTTGCCCTGCTTCTCTTCATGAGTTTACAACCTGGACCTCTTTAGAGTCTATTGATCTTGCTTATGTGATACATTTTCTGTAACTAACATTAATTTCAAGGTGGAAATTTTACGCAATTTTTATTTCGTCATTATTCCAAACATGTCTGTTTTAATTGCTGTACTTAATATGCTGAGATGGGTTCCACTGCATGTATATAATTAAAATAGTATTTGATGACTACTGAAATTTTATTGGAAAAATAAGTGTTCTAGTTTCTACTTTGAGAAATGACGTAGTGGTAAGCAATTTACTAAAGTTCAGAATAGCTGATTTTTGACATCTGAACATATTCAACCTAACTTCTTCCAAGGAGAGCAAGAAATTTTTTCTGGTTTAATGACATATTTTTAAGGAGGGGGAACATTTCTATTTCACTTTTCTACATCTCTTTGAAAATAAGTGCAATTGAAATTTAACCAGTCATTGATAAATCTATAGTTCGTTTCTAAAAGTTCGGCTCAATTTTTTTTTGTGCAGGAATTTGTGTGAGCACAAACAAGCATAACATTTATTTTCACCCTAAATTAATTATAAACTTAGTTACATATCAGATTTTAAGCATGCAAGTAGTTAATCCAAGAAAAAATTTAATTTTTTATGCATAATAAATCTATGCTATATATTTTTATGCATGTCATCTTATTCTGCTTTAAGAATAAAATTTTAAAAAGAACACAAACATTGACAATAATTCAGTTCACTCAATTGGTTGTATAAATGAGAATACCAAGTTTCAGCAAAGTTAAATACTTTGTTTGCATTTTTATGGCTTATAGTAATGCCAAAACAGGAATTAATATCTTCTAACCCCTAGGCCTTTAAAAGTTATAATTCTTGGCCGGGCACGTTGGCTTACACCTATCATCCCAGCCTTTGGGAGACCGAGGTGGACAGATCATGAGGTTGGGAGTTCAAGACCAGCCTGACTAATATGGTGAAACCCCATTTCTACTAAAAATACAAAAATTAGCCTAGCATGGTGGTGTGCACCTGTAGTCCCAGCTACTCAGGAGGCTGAGGCAGGAGAATCACTTGAACCCAGGAGGTGGAGGTTACAGTGAGCCAAGATAGTAGCACTGCACTCCAGCCTGGGTGACAGAGTGAGACTCCATCTCAAAAAAAAAAAAAAAAGTTATAATTTTTCATTACGCCTCCCAAAACCCAGAAAAAATCCTAATAAAAATTAACACAAAAAGGCTCGTTTTAATCAGCTAATTTTAATATAAATGAATAACCATCTTTATTAAAAATAAAAGGATATATAAATATCCTTTTAATAAGCAACTATACAGTTTTATGACTATAAGATTCAATATTGGTGCCACAGGAGTTACAAATTCAATGTATTTATCCTGAAACACATGATGAGAATGTTAAACTGTGGTCATTCTTTTTTCTCATGGCATCATTTATTTTCCATAATGTAATTGTTTGAAAAGACCTGACAAATAGAAGCTAGTATTTGGTAAAATATTTGGTCAAAATTTTAACCAAGCCTTTGTCTACCAGGTGAAATCATTTCGTAAATTGAACTCTAAGTGACTTGTTTCTTATGAAACTCTCTTCAGTTGTCCCCTTTGTTTTTAGGAGGCTCTCAGTAAGATGACCCAAATCATCCATGAGACGGACCTGTTGATGAACAACATGCTCATCGAAGAGCTGCAGGACTGGAAGCGGCGGCAGCAGATCGCCTGCATCGGGGGTCCGCTCCACAACGTGCTCAACCAGCTGCAGAACTGGTAAAACTAATTGGCTGTAGTTTCTAGTGAAAACCACAGGAAATACACAACTTCAGTGTTACTCAGCCAGAGAATGCAGGTTTAGACTGGAACATCAGTTCATTCAGCTTATTAGCAGCTGCGAACTCTACGGCTGAAAGCAAATAATATAAGTGTTCTTAGTTTTTATTCTCATGGGGAAAATAAAAGAAAGCATATATTGAATGCTTAATTTTCATATGTAAAATATCAATCTTAAAACACTTGAATAAATTTTAAAACCAGCAATATGCTTTCTTTAAGGACGTAATAAAGAAGCACTAGCTTCAAAACCTTCAAAATAGGGATCTCAACTTTCAAATATTAGTTTTGTGTTTTCAACATAGTGATTTGCTTGGTTCCAGATGTTGGTTGAAGCATGGGAAATTTCAGTTAAGTTCAAGAGATCCATTGTACAGCATGGTGACTGTAGTTAATCACAGTTTATTCTATACTTGAAAATTACTAAGAAAGTAGATCTTAAGAGTTCCTACCACAGAAAAGTAGATATGCGAAGTAATAATGCATGTTATTTATCTCGATGTAACTATTCAACAGTGTATACATACATCAAAACATCATGTTGTATATCACAAGTATATACAATTTTTATGTGTCAAGTTTTAAAACCATAAATGGTTTTAAAGCCATTCCCCATCTATGTACGCAAACATGCAGTGAAATGTAGATACTATTCTTTGCATTAGAAGATTAAAATGTTCATAGGATTTTCCATGTCATAAATTCAGAACAAAACTATTTAATTGAAAGAACAATTGGAAAATATGAAATAGAAACTGTTCAGTTTAAATCTAAAATTGTTCAAAGTAACTGGGGACCCCCCTAACTAAAAGCTCTGCCCTGCCAGGCCTACTTATCAAGAAATGTAAAAAGTTTGGCTCATTTAAAACATTGATTTTCCTTGGGAAGACACTTTGATTCTTTAACTCACTGTACTCTGTTGTGAAAACAACAATAAAAGGAGTAATTAAGAGCTTAATCAATAATGATGCTCAGACCAAAACTCAGCAGGTATTTAGCCACTCTTGCCATAGTCTTATATGTGGAATACTTTAAGTAGAAAGAGTTGCTGTAGGGTGAAGTGGACTTTCCAAGTCTGTTAAGACGTTATGCCTCCTGTAGCTGGCAGTCCCTTCCGTGTCCATTTCAATCTTACTCTTCCCTAGGCTTCTGGCCCACACTACCACCTCCATTTCTGAGGTGAGATCACCATGTCGTGAATACAATTCCAAGCAGACATCAAGAGCAAGCATTTCTAAATATAATACCTCACTCTAAAGAGAGTCATTGATCACTCTTGGCTAATACTTAGGACAGTAAAATATATATTGTAGGGAAGATCGGTTTCATATGTTTTTCTTTCAGTATACTTATATAAGAAAACATTAATCATCTCATGTATTTTATGGCTTTAAATTTGCTTTTTCTTTGCCCTTTAGTGAGTGCCATAGTTTTAACATCTATATGCTTAATAAGCTTAAACAAAGAGTAATTAAAAGGGATTTGGTTCCAGATATTGATAAAATCTCATAAATGATGACATATCTAATTGAAGGTATAAATGAGAAAACATTGAAAATGTTTAACATATGCATATTCAAGAAAAAAATGGGTTAGGAAAATAAAAATAAAGAACTGTCACTAACCTAAATCAAACTAAGTGATTAATTAATTTAAATAAGTACTTAATAATTTAACATTTGTTAACTATGACCCATTGTTACAATGTTTTACTAATAAGTGGAAAAACTATTTTTTATTTTCATTTGCTGTTCAATAGCTTTACACTATTGGCAGAAAGTCTTTTCCAACTCAGACGGCAGTTGGAGAAACTAGAGGAGCAATCTACCAAAATGACATATGAAGGTGATCCCATTCCGATGCAAAGAACTCACATGCTAGAAAGAGTCACCTTCTTGATCTACAACCTTTTCAAGAAGTAAGTGAAGTGCTATAAATTTCAGTGCTTCCTGGCATCCTCCATCCCATGAAGTAAGAACACCCTGCCTAAGGTTTTGGGGTTAGGTGAAAGAGTGGCAGGGATGTATTCAACAATGAGCCTCAGGGAGAAGTGAATAGAACTCCAAAGTTTCAGAAATCACATTTCTACTCTTCACTATTTATTCATCAACACTTCTCTCACCAACTGGCTCGGTTTTCTACACTCACTGACAGCTCAGTTTTTACATTTTAGAAAAGATTTCAAGGATTTTTTTCTTACGTGTATATCCATGAAATGAAGGATGGAGAACATTTTCATGTTTATGAGCTATTCTAAAGAAAAAAATGCTAATATGTACCAGAAATCCTAACATTTAGTCCAAAAAAGTCATGAAATTTATTCTTGGCCAAGCCTGGTGCCTCACACCTGTAATTCCAGCACTTTGGGGGGCTGAGACAGGAGAATGCTTGAGCTCAGGAGTTTGAGACCACCCTGGACAACATAGAAAGACCCCCATGTCTACAAAAAATAAAAAAAATTATCCAGGCATGGTGGCACATGCCTATCACCCTAGATACTCAGGAAGCCAAGGCAGGAGGATCGCTTGAGCCCGTGAGGTCAAGGCTGCAGTGAGCTATGATCATGCCATTGCACTTCAGCCTGGGCAACAGAGAGAGAGAGACCCTTTTCAAAAGAAAAAAAAAATTACTAAGTGGACTGGGGCTTTTTTTATGGCTCAATTATAACAAGAATCATTTACTGCTGTTACGTGATTTATGAAAAGCCATTGTAAAGATGTGAGTTTAATTGGGGATTTGAATATCTTCTAAATGTAGAAAACTTGGACTTTATGCGTGGATAGCATCCTGTTCCTCTGTGGTTTTCAGTCTGTCGATATTTTCAATGTTTTCAAATGACATGCTTTATTTCCTTTTTATCTAGCTCGTTTGTGGTTGAGCGACAGCCATGTATGCCAACCCACCCTCAGAGGCCGCTGGTACTTAAAACCCTAATTCAGTTCACTGTAAAACTAAGGTAGGCAGAATATCTTCTACTATTTCGTGTGTTTGTGGAACTATAGTTTCTGGATAATCAAGGCCAGTTTCTCTCACTGTGGCTTGCATTCATCTATTCTTTATTGAACCATCTGCTGTGTGCCAGCTCTGAGCCTTAGGAAATACCCACAGAAATGTTAAGGTGAGAGTCCTGCTTGTCAAGAGCATGACAGTACGGATGAGGACATGAGGGATTAGCTTGAAAGAATGGAACCATAATATCAGGCACAATGAAATGAATTACTGAAAAGGCTGACTTGAGAAAAGACTGGAGAGATGGATCACCCAGAGGATTGTATGAGAGGAAGAGCACAGAAATAATGGCTTCCTGGGTCTGTCTGGTAATCATGGGGGGCAGGGAGAGACAGAACTGAGAGGACAGACTGGGGACAGATTCTGGAATGCTTTCAATAACCTATCCAGGAAACGTAGTGGCATATTCATCTCCTGTGATTACCCAGTAACTGGCTTATTGGACTTTCCACAAAAACTCTCAAAACCACAGTCTTCCATATATCTTTATTGTGTCCCTGAGTTAAAGACATAACTTTTGTATTATTGTTGCTTTGCTTTCTCTGTGAATTTGATCCTTTCTATTAGCATAAGCAATCAAAACTTACAGTTGTCCCTAATGATGTTGAGAATAATGAGTTTGAGTTCTTACTTTCAAAGATTCTCATCATGCCTCAAACTCCAAGAACTAAAGCTTTAAATGCTTAATCTCTAGGTGACCTCTGGAAAACTGAAACCACAAACTAACATGTCAAGAGGTGGTGATGCCATGACACAGAGCAATTTAGGGTTCTATGATGGAGTTGCTGATCATTTATCACTATTGGAACTCCATTTTTAAAGAGAAGGCATTTGTCTTCAGTTTGCATTTTTAAGACACAGATTAAAATTCTTAATCAGTTTCTTTGTGTGAATTTTGCACCAAGATTTAAGAACTGAAAACAAAAGGCAGAGGCTAGGTTCCTTTTTAAGTTGCGTTGTTGGCCAGGCATGGTGGCTCATGCCTATAATCCCAACATTTTGGGAGGCTGAGGAAGGCAGATCACCTGAGGTCAGGAGTTCAAGACCAGCCTGGCCAGCATGGCAAAACCCCATCTCTACTAAAAACAGAAAAATTATCTGAGCATGTTGGTGCATGCCTGTAATCCCAGCTACTCAGGAGGTTGAGGCACGAGAATCGCTTGAACCTGGGAGGCAGAGATTACAGAGAGCCGAGGTCACACCACTACACTCCAGCCTGGGTGACAGAGCAAGACTCTGTCTCAAAAAAATAAAATAAAATAAAATAGGAATTATCAAAAGTTGTTCATTCTTCATTCCCACATCTCCATATAACTCGGAGGGGAGTAACAATAAAGGGAACTCGGATGGAGAAGTGGTGGACATTCTCCTTTTCCTTGAGACACTCCTATAGATGATAGAGTAAGTCTAAAATGCTCTCTGGGGCAAAAGGGGAGATGAGTAGGGATTGCCTAGCAAAAAAATTTCTAATCTGAAGCAGCACCACCTGCATGTTGTGTGAACTGATTGCCAGAGGCATAGAATTTTAGTCCCTGATGGTAGGTTCTGTCTTCCTCGTCTACCTACTGTGTCTCCATCCTCCTTCTCTACACCCTATTACCCACCATCTTGATAGATGATCCCTTAATCAAGGTTTTTCTAAAACCCCTCTTTGCCATACCATTGCATCCTCCTGTTTCAAAGAAAAGGATGAACTTGGACTCAGTGGGACATCAGCATGTTACAGTGAATCAGATCCTTCCTGAAGTAGTATAAAAAGGAAGGTGGAGGAGAAAAACATCTGGCCTTATTTTATATGACTGTGTCCCCTTCTCATCGTTCATTGCCAATGGCTGCACATCAGCATACTCCAAACCCTGAACCAATCTTGTGCCTTGTACAGGACTTTCAACATTTTGCAACATTCAACCCACCCTTTTGTTTGGGCTGCCTATGAGCTATGATTTCATTTCTCTAATGCCAGTGAGTTGCTTATCACCATATTCTCTATGTTCCATCTGTGTGCCTGGACTCCCTCCTTTCATGTAGAGCCATGTTCACATTTCTCCCTCCTGCAATCTTTGCTACACTAGTTCTCTGGTACCTAAGGCTGTACTGGGCAAATATGAGGAGCTCAGTGCATGCTGAGTGAATGCACAAAGTTTAGGATGAGGGCATGAGTAAATAAATGAATGGGTGAGGGACTGAATGACTATCTCTGAAACTGCACTGAACCCACAGGTAGGTCACATCACAGGAGAGACATCTGAGGAGTTAGAGAAAGCAAAAGAATAATGGATGGGCTGACACAGAAGGAATTAAAGAAATTTTTATATTGAACTTCAGTTACTTTTTCATTTGAAGTTGGTTTTTTAATGAACATTTTTGCTGTTATTTTAATATAGTGTTTTGAAAGATTTCAAATGCATTCGAATTGGGATTTTTCCATATTTTACTAGAGGTCTGTCTTAGTATAGTCACCATAAAATACTCATCATCAACACTTACAAAGTGGTTTCTTTTTTTGTAATATGAGGATAAAATTAAGCCATATAAGAATTTTTATATCTATACATTTAACTCAGATTTAGGCTTCAGCCAAAATATAAGCTTTTTTTTCTGACCCAGCCAATGTATTATTCAGCAAACATCAACTGAAACAATATGGAAACACTTTCCAAATGTTTGTCAATAATGCTAATACGTGACTGATGTCAACATCAGTAACACGGCAAACTGAAGAGGCATTGGACATTCTTAACACATACTATCATATAACTGTAGATAACGTTAGGTTTGTTTATATGCATATTCCATAAGTATATTTAAATGTTTAAATATAAAAAAGAGTTTTAAAACACTTTCAATTTTTATCTTTTTTTTTTATTGAAATCTCTTTTCAGACTACTAATAAAATTACCAGAACTAAACTATCAGGTAAAGGTTAAAGCATCAATTGACAAGTAAGTTTTCTAATATCATTTTGAGTTGTGAAAGACTATTTAAAATGAATAACCCTTATTTTATAGAATAATTTTGATCTTTTAAATTTACTTATCTAACAATGTACTTCAAATATTTGACTTTGAAATTCAAACATTTAACAAAACTCAATGTTTAACTTTTAAATTTTATTATAAAAACTTGAAATCAATTTTATCTACTATCCTTTAAAGTATCATAGAAGCCAGGTGTGGTGGCTCATGCCTGTAGTCCCAGCTACTTAGGAGGCTGAGGCAGGAGAATCACTTGAACCTGGGAGGCAGAGGTTGTAGTGAACCAAGATCGTGCCACTGCACTCCAGCCTGGGTGACAGAGCGAGACTCTGTCTCCAAATAAATAAGTAAATAAATAAATAAAGTATCATAGAAAGTTGTTCCTAGATCTATTAAATAGCTCATTTTAAAGAATCTTCTTGGTTTTACAGGAATGTTTCAACTCTAAGGTAAGACATTTATTTTGGGGAATCTTTATTGCTGCTCTGTTTTACCTGAGACCATGTAAATAGCTAAGATTTCCTCTCCAGCAACCGAAGATTTGTGCTTTGTGGAACTAACGTCAAAGCCATGTCTATTGAAGAATCTTCCAATGGGAGTCTCTCGGTAGAATTTCGACATTTGGTGAGTTTAGCAGTAAAGTTACACAGGCTTTTTTTTCCCTCAAATCAGAGACATCTATACTAAGAGCCCTTATAACAGTATATTCTGTGCTTAAACATTTCTTATTTCAAATTAGAAACTGGCCGGGCACGGTGGCTTGTAATTACAGCACTTTGGGAGGCGGAGGTGGGCGGTTCACCGGGTCAGGATGCTGCAACCTCCGCCACCTGGTCAACATAGTGAAACCCCGTCTCTACTAAAAATACAAAAAAAATTAGCCAGGCGTGGTGGCGGGTGCCTGTAGTCCCAGCTACTCTGGAGGCTGAGGCGGGAGTTGCATGAGCTGAGATCGCGCCTTTGCACTCCAGCCCAGATTACAGTGCAAGACTCCATCTCAAAAAAAAAAATTAAAATAGATAAAAGAAAAGAAATTAGGAACCATATTGAGAAATAAAACATACCACCAGTGAATAATTAAAATGATAGAAAGAACACTGAACCTTTACTTGGAAGGTCTGAGTTATAAGCAATGAAGACATAGTACCTAAGCATGCATAGGAGTTGGTTAGTATATTTTGCTGATAAGGACAGAGATAATCTGTCTTAAAATGGAGAGGTATTACACAGTGGGATATTATTCAGCCATTGAAAGAATGAAACGTGTCATATGCATCAACATGGATGGAACTGGAGGTCATTCTGTTAAATGAAATAAGCCTCATTATGTTAAATGAAATAAGCCAGGCACAGAAAGATAAATATTGCATGTTCTCACTCATGAGGGAACTAAAACAGCAGATCTCTCAGAGGCAGATAGTAGAATGGTGGTTACCAGAGGCTAGGAAACCAAGTGGGGCAGGGGGATAAAGAGAAGTCAGTTAATGGGTACAAAGAGAAGTCAGTTAATGGGTACAAAGGTACAGTTAGACAGAGGAAATAAATTCCGGAATTCAATAGTGTAGAAGGGGCCGGGTGCGGTGGCTCAGACTTGTAATTCCAGCACTTTGGGAGGCAGAGGCAGGTGGATCACCTGAGGTCAGGAGTTCAAGACCAGTCTGGCAAACATGGTGACCCCATCTCTACTAAAAACACAAAAATTAGCTGGACGTCGTGGCACATGCCTGTAATCTCAGCTACTTGGGAGGCTGAGGCAGGAGAATCGCTTGAACCTGGGAGGCGAAGGTTGCAGTGAGCTGAGATCATGCCACTGCACTCCAACCCGGTGACACAGCAAGACTCAGACTCAAAAACAAAAATAGTATAGAAGGGAACAATAATTTATTGTATATTTTTAAATAGCAGGAAGAGAAGAATTGTAATGGTCCCAACACAAAGAAAATATAAATTATGTTATAAATATCCCAGTTACCCTGATTCGATTATTACACATTGTATACATGTATCAAAATATCATATGTACCACAAAAATATGTACAACGATGATATATAAATATAAAAGTACAAAGGCACATACACACATGTGTAATAATGGATAGGCATTCCTGGTTTCATTTTTATATCTCTGATCATCATGTCTGGTGAAAAGTGCTTTCATTTTAGGAGGCTAGGTTGGGGAAATAGGATGCTCCTAGGTATAGCAGCTGTAAATAGTTCACCTTGCTATGTCTAGAAAGCTCTGACCCAGCCTCATCCTGTTGCTTCTTGTTTTTACCACTTCCTCTTGACCTAGAGTTCTCTTCCTGCCTTCTTTCTAATTCTTTGTGTAGTTCTTAGATTCCCAAAGACCTTACTGCTTTTCTTGCCAGAAACCACGTTACTCCTCCTGCTTATTAATGTTTAGCAATTGCCTCACTGAGTGTTTGGACACCATTGAATCTGACTCAAAAAGTCTACTTTCTAAAAGATAAAATGTAGCTTCACAGAAAGATATCTGCATATGTAAATGTATTCTGATTTCTGGTTTTGATATTGTTTTTGTTTGTTTTTTAGTATTGAGGAGTATGGTTTTGTTTCTGTTTTTGTTTTTAATGAATCCTTCCTGTGTGAACTGCCAAATAAATAAAATGTAATAAAAAACAATGTATTATAGACATCCTTGAAACTCACACTCTATTTTGTTAGGCTCAATTCCTACCCTCTAGGAACTTTCAACAAGGGGCCATGTTTAGTAATAAGTAGGAAGATCTTAACTTAGAAACGTCTGTCTCCCAAAAAAGTCACATGGAAAAGGGAGAACAAGGAACGCACCAAAAATCGGTGAGGTCTTTATTTTAGCAGGTACAATATATAAAATAACAAAACCTCAGTTTTTACAGTGCTCTTTTGCTCTTCTGAAGCATTTTCACATTTATTTTATGCATAAAACTTTAATTCCTTTTTGATACAAAATAAATATAGAAAATAAAAGTCAAAAATTTAAAAATTATAACCTATAATTTCACCACTTTGCAATGCTATTAACATCGTTATTTTTTATAACTTTGTCCTTTTTTCTAAAATATTTACATATAATTATTTTTAAAGTGGGATCAAATAATACACACTGTATTATTTGTTTTCTGCCTCTTTTTTTCATTCAGTAATCTATGTCAGTGCACATTTATTGTGTCAGTGAGTCTTCTTCCTCTCTGATGTCATTTAATGGCTTACTACGCTATATGGTACACTCTGCCCTAGAGTTTATTTTTCTAGTCCTCTCTGTTAGACTTGGTTTCTCAGGGACTGGAAATCATCCCCATAGCTTACCAAAATGATTCTTTCCAGGCACAAATGAGTGCTGTACAGATTCTGAAAGTTCTCAGCATGATTTCTTTTCTTGAAAATGTTGGCTGAAAGCTAAAGTCTTAGTGATAAGCCAACTCAGGTTTCTAAAGCGGCATCCCATGGGGTGAGACAGGAAGCTCCTCTCTCTTAAATCCGGGCAGTTGTGTCAGGTTTCAATGAGTTTGAAAATATGTTGCTGTTCTAGAAGTCAAAACTCTGGCCAAGAGAACGACTCCAACAGGTACGACCAACTTAGTATGTAGCTGATAATTCTTCTCCATCTAAATATTGTTGTTTTCTTTTACAAAGCAACCAAAGGAAATGAAGTCCAGTGCTGGAGGTAAAGGAAACGAGGTAGGAAATGTTTTCTCCTATAGAATTTTTCTGGGAACAGATCTTATAATATCTTATTTTTACAAAGCTTTTAAACTGCTTGACTTCATATAAAATCAAATTCATGTTTTTCTGATTATAGATGTAAAGCTTGATAATTGAAGAAAATATGAGGAAGTTTTTTTAAAAGAGAAAATAAAAATAACATATAACACCCTCCAAAGAAAATAACTATTAACATCTTGGTAGACATCATTCCAGTCTTTTATTTATGTATATATTACCTTAAAAATATATGATACTCAGGCTGGGCACGGGTGGCTCACACCTGTAATCCCAGCACTTTGGGAGGCCAAGGCAGATGGATCATGAAGTCAGAAGTTCGAGACTAGCCTGGTTAACATGGCGAAACCCCATCTCTACTAATAATAGAAAAATTAGCTGGGCATGATGGCGGGCGCCTGGAATCCCAGCTACTCGGGAGGCTGAGGTTGGAGAATTGCTTGAATCTGGGAGGCAGAGGTTGCAGTGAGCTGAGATTACGCCATTGCACTCCAGCCTGGGCAACAGAGTGAGCCTTAGTCTCAAAAAAAAAAAAAAAAAAAAGATACTCATTGCTTCATAGCCTGCTTTTTTCATATAGCAATGTATTCATGTATCCTTTTTTTTTTTTGAGCCCCTGCCCGCAGCCTGGAGAACAATTTTTCATAATTTTAAATATTATTGGAGAACATAATTTAAATTGGTTGCATTACATTGCATTTTATAAGTGTGCCATAATTTCTTTAGTCAGTCCATTATCAAGAAATATCTTTGTGATTCTTCATTTTTCATTCACTCATTTTCTCACATACATGAAGTCGGGCTTTTTTTTTTTACCCTGCAATTCTGATATGCAGGGTAAAAACCAACCTTATTATTTTGAGGTATCAATCACCTTGCTCTCTAATGTTTGCATTTCACTAGACGATTTGAATGAAGGAACCAACTAATGCAATCTGAGTACTCACATTTGAGTTAGTTGATGATCGAGCAGTCAAATCATGAACTGGACATGATCTTGGAGCATATCTATTCAGTTGACCTAGAAACTAAGGCATAAGTCCATGACATATATGTTTGGAACTAGAAAACCTGGGTTTGAGTACATGCTCTGCCAGGGCCTGAAAATGTGAGATTTGGCAAATGATCTGATGAAGAAATATTGCCATTTTTTTCCTCCAAGGGATCAGGATATTAATGCTCAACAGTCCCTGCTCAGAGGTGCTGCAGGTGTAAAACCACCTACATGATGCAATTTTGAAACAATGAGATTTATTTCTGGGGTGGTTCATATGGATCCAAACTCTAGGCTTTACAGTCACAGCTCCTATAAAAAAGATCTTTGAATTGTTTGGAAGAAAACCACTTTATAAATCCAGCATCCAGTGACATCCAATTTATCACACCCCACAAAACCATAAAGATCCATCACAAAAGATTTAATGCCCTACCATTTTGCCCTCCAAGAATTCTTCATTCCCTTAACTGTGTCTTAAAGATCATTTGCCAAACGTCATAGGACCACCAAAGACGAGCTCAGTCTTCCAAGGTAGAATTGCTGCTCAGCACACAGCCCCCTAAGCAGGTCTGTGCAGCCAAAGAAATCACAGGAGTAGAGTTTTTGAGTTTAAGGAGATTCTAGTAAAACAAGTGAAGGGGAGTTGTTCTTCCAGCTTATAGAAACCCATAAAGGTTTTCTAAACTTCCTAAACATTAGCGCGTTTTAGATAAAAGCTCATTCCACACACCTCCTTGGAATTCTGGCCAGAGTTGCAGCATTTCATTCAGCTTGACATCCCTGAGTATTATTTATGAATCTGAACAGACTAAGTATCATTATCCTGAACTTTCTTTAAGTAAAACAAATCGAATGAGAATAAATCCAAATAGCTCACCTCTTGTAGTATATTGTCATCTTTATGAATATGAAATGAAAATCTTCATTTGGATTTCCATAGAGACAGAAATCTAAGTAAATCGTCTTCCACTGTAGAAAAACCAACCACTGTCTTATTAACACTGTCTACTTATATTGCTTTCAATTTATTTCCTCTATTTTCTGATGAATAGCAAAATCATACAGTCATATCAGAATGATTTTTATTTCTTCCCTGTTTTTTTTCAGGTTTGCCAAATCGGGCTCATTTTATTTTAATGTATTCTTTGAGCTCCACCTGTTGGTAGAATTTTAGTATGACTCCTAGGTACTCTATCCTGTGTGCAGCAGGAGTAGTCACAAAATGTGAAGGAAGATAAGCCAGGAATCAGGGTCTTGGCCATTCAGTAGGGATGATCACACGAAGGTTAGGAAGAAGTGAGGGAAGAGGGAGCAATAAAGTGAAGTTCATAAAGTCATGAGGCCAGGAATTATGGTAACAAATTTCTGGAAAACAGGAAGCAGGATATCTTAACCTCGTTTTCAAGTTTCAGCAAGTTGCTATTGCTTATCTCTGAGCACCTGTAGCAGGAGTTCACAGCCTCCTAGAATGACTTCAACAATCCTCGTGGACACTAAGAGCTTCACTAATACTGATTTCTGCTATTCTTGCAACAGGACTGTAAAGTAGGTACTATTAGCCTCATACTTGTTTCAGTTATGGAAACTGAGGCACAGAGTGGTCGCACAGCTTACTCAAGATTACAGGGGCAGTTGATGGCAGGGCCAAGATAAAACCATGGCAGTCTGATCCCGTGTCCCGGCTCCTGGCCCCTCTGCTATGCTACCTCTGGGTCGCAGAATCTTCCCTGTAAAGGCAAGCTAGTTGGCACTCCTCCTACCCGGTCACCTCACCCCATCTATCTCACAGAGTGGCTGCACCTTGCCTACCTGCTCAGAAATCGTGGCTGTCTCACATCATAATTTAAAATAATGCTTCTTCAGAAAATGCTGTTGACCTCTCCTGTCTACTGTGTCTCCTTTTTCACGTGTGTTGTGCCTCGGTGAGATAGTGGAGATAGCACTGTGTTGGTTTCTGCCTCTTGGGGCAGTCTGAGCTTGCACAAGCCACTTAACCTCTCTAACTCCCAAATTCCTTATCTACAAAATGCTGCTAACGTTAACCTACATTTCTAAGGAATGTCATGAGGACCAAATGAGCTGTGTGTGAGTCAGTGGTGGTGGGCTGTGTAGATGTTGGCGATGACATTTACTGATCAGCCTCCTCTGGAGGGAGCAGGTGTCTACACAGATGGGAAAACTGGGCTCTAAAAGGAGGTACCTAACTTCAGACAACTGCTGATCTTTATCCTTCTCTGCTTACCTGCCAAGTGCTCTACTGGAGATGTGTCCCTATCAAAACCCTGGGCACTTCCCCTTTCCAGCTCCAGGTCCCTGAAACCTCAGGTCACCATGTGTGTATGCCCCTTCATGGGATTTCTTGTCTGGCATTCCTGCTACCACTCCAATGCCCATCACTCCCATCACGTGCGCACACATACACACGCACACAAAATTGTGGGTCCCTTCATTCTACTTTTGTGGTTGTAAGAGCTTGTATCAAATAGTTATGAAATGATTGACAGTGGGAATAAAATCAACTTTAGCAATCACTGCCTTTCTCTCACCTCTTCTCTCCTGGGAAGAGTCAATGTGAATAAACGATTTCATCACCTAGCAAGTGGCCAGGCTTTGAGCCCATCCATCTATCCCTGTAAAATAAACATTCCCAGGAAGCAACCTTTCCCTGGAGGCCCTTATCTAGCAGGGAGCCAGCTAGAGAGTGATTATTGAAATGTGAAAACTGTTTGAATAGAGAAGCTGGAATTGTAGTCTCTCCCGTTCGCTCTTTGTCAGTGGGCTTTAACTGATAAATGAGAGTTTTAGCCACAGACTGAGGTGTTAGGTAATTTTGTTTATGTGGTGGAAAGTCATGAAGCACAATGAAGCTATTAGTGAAGCCTGGGTGACTTGAGTTTCATTTAACAAAATAGCCAAACAGATGTTCTTGCAAGGTTCAGTGTTCTCAAACACAGACACACTACTCACACCCCACCTAGCCCAAGCATTTGCACAGCAAGTTGATTTCTTGCTGAACTAATTTAAAGAGTTACAACACTTTTTTGAGGGAGAATTGTACAAAAATATTATTAAAACCTTAGACATTTTAGAATGCACCAGCATCCAGACAGTACCCTTGTTTTATGGGCTAAGCAGAGTTGTCATATTATATTCCTGTCTTCTGATTCTGTGATTCTGTGATTAAAGGCTATCTCTCATGTGATTGGACCACTGTTTCCCTCTCTTCTCATTGTTTCCCAGCATCTGAGCCAGTGTCTAGCATCTAATATGTGCTCAATATTCACTAAATGAAAGGATTATTTTAATTGTTTCTATTCTATTCTGTATAGTTTTCCATGTGGGACATTATCATAAATTATGGATTGTTAAAAGATGAGCAAGAAATTTGGGTGAAAATCACCTTTTATCCAAGCCATATTTTTCTTAGCAGAGGTTTTCTGTCAAGTTAAAAGCCATTACCATTTGTTAATATATCCTAGGTTTCCAAGGTGTATTATTAGACACTGAGCAGAGGAAACAGAGAAGAATATGGTGACATCTAGAACTACCTTTTATTAGGTTGTATCTAATTTTTCCCAAGTGGAGCCCTGATTAAGTTGGTTGAACAGTTTTCCAGTTTCTTAGCAGGTTTTCCAATGGGCATTTTCCTTTAGAAGTACAATACAGTTGATCTAGCTACAATATTCAGTGCCAGATAATATAAATATCATTAATATGGATATTTTCTATCTGTAATCATCTTGAATGATTAGGATGGCTTTGATACAAACATTAATGGTGCATCTCATCTATGATGCTTCTGTGATGTGGTATTGACAAGAATGTATATTTTGTGTATTTAAAGTGGAAAGCTCTATAAATATTTATTAAGTTTACTTGTTCCACATCTGAGTTCAAGTCCTGGATATCCTTATTAATTTTCTGTCTCATTGAGTCTAAGTCTCTTTATAGGTCTTATGTATCTGGGTGTTAGGATCATTAGCTCTTATTGTTGCATTGATCCTTTTACCACTATATCTTCGTTGCTTTAAAATCTATTTTATCAGATGCGAGAATTGCAACTCCTGCTTTTTATTTATTTATTTATTTTTGCTCTCCATTTAGTTGGTTAATCTTTCTCCATCCCTTTGTTTTGAGTCTTTGTGTATCTTTGCATGTGAAATGGGTCTGGATGCAACATACCAATGGGTTTTGGCTGTATCTTTTGATTGAGGGATTTAGTCGATTTAAATTTAGGATTACTGCCATTTGATTTTAACTGGCTGTTGTATCCATTTGTTGATGTAAATTCTTCTTTATGTTAATGTTCTTTACTTTTTGGTAAATTTTTAGAAAGGCTAATACTGGTTGTTCCTTTCTATGTGTAATGCTTCTTTCAGAAGCTCTTGTAAAGCAGGTCTGGTGGTAATAAAATCTCTGAGTACTTGCTTGTTCGCAAAGGATTTTATTTTTCCTTCACTTATGAAGCTTAGTTTGGCTGGATATGAAATTCTGGGCTGAAAGTTCTGTTCTTTAAGGATGTTGAATATTGACCCCCACTCTCTTCTGGATTGTAGGGTTTCTGCTGAGAGATGTGCTGTAAGTCTGATGGGCTTCTCTTTGTGGGTAACCTGACCTTTCTCTCTGGCTGCCCTTAGTATTTTCTCCTTCGTTTCAACCCTGGTGAATCTAACAATTATGTGCCTTGGGGTTGCTCTTCTTGAGGAATATCTTTATGGTGTTCTCTGTATTACCTGGGGTTGAATATTGTCCTGCTTTGCTAGGTTGGGAAGGTTTTCCTGACTAATATCCTGAAGAGCATTTTCCAGCTTGGATTCATTCTCTCTGTTGCATTCAAGTATACCTATCAAACGTAAATTAGGTCTTTTCACATAGTCCCATATTTCTTGGAGACTTTGCTCATTCCTTTTTATCCTTTTTTCTCTATTCTTGTCTTCTTGTTTTATTTCATTAAGTTGATCTTCGACCTCTGATATTCTTTCTTCTGCTTGTTCAATGCGAGTGTTAAAACCTGTGCATACTTCTCGGAGTTCCTGTATTGTATTCTTCAGTTCCATTAATTCACTTATATTCCTCTCTAAATTGTCTATTCTCATTAGGATTTCGTAAAACCTTTTTTCAAAGTTCTTAGTTTCTTTACATTGGGCTACAACATGTTCTTTTAACTCACAGAAGTTTCTTATTATCCACCTTCTGAAGCCTGATTCTGTTAATGGAATGCACTCGTTTTCCATCAAGCCTTGTTCCCTTGTTGATGAGGAACTGTGAACCTCTGTAGAGGGAGAGGCATTCTGATTTTGAGTATTCTCAGCCTTTTTATGCTGGTTTCTTCCCATTGTTGTAAGTTTATCCACCTGTCGTCTTTGTAATTACCAACTTTCAAATTAGGTCTCTGAGTGGATGTCCAACTTGTTAATTCACAGGGCCGAAATCTGAGCGACCCACTGCGCCAGCCAAAACAGCGGCGTTAAGACTGATGGTGCTTTTCTGCCAGGGAATCTCTGGTCTGGCTTCCTTCTTGAGTCCGTAATAGGCGACTCTGCTTTCCCAGAGCTCCAAACATCAGTCAGAAGGGGAACCAGTCCTGTTTACTCTGCACCAAGAGCTGCCGCGCCGGCCACAAGAGTCGCACTGGCGACCCGTGGGGCTCCTCCACTGGGAATCTTCTGGTCCGCGAGCGACAAAAATTCATCTGAAAGTGTGGCGTCCTCTCGTTCTCTGTGCTTTCACTGGGAGCTACAATCCTGAGATGTTAGCGATCAGCCATCTTGGATCGTTCCTCCTCTGGAGTTCTTAAATTCCAGATAGTATAGTATAATACAGATACTTCAACAGGTATCTTTAGATTATAAGAAATGTTTAAATCTAACCACAATACCCTTATCACAAAAAACATAACAACTTTTGAAAAGCCTTCCTTTAAAAAATCCTATTTTGTATTCAAATTCCTCCATTGCCTCAAAAAAGGCTTTTTACAGTTGGCTTGTTCAAATCAGTGTCTAAGCACTGTCTTCCCATTGCGAGATGGTTGATTTGCTCCTTCAACATGCCATATATTTATTGAATAGACTGAGCTGAATACAGGAGACTTTTTTTTATTGTTTTCTTATATTCTTCTTTTTTTTACTTTTCCTCTGAGTTTTTTGTTTTTGCATCCTCATTTCACGTGAGAGGCTTTGTCAAAGCCTGATGATCATCAATTTGCTATTAATAATAAAGAGAAGGGCACTAAAAAACTGCCTGAATATTCTATGTGCATGTTGGGAACTGTAGACTTAGGGTGATTATTAGAATCTGGCTGTTTCAATGTGTTGCTGGGGGGCGGTGGTGGGTGTAGAAGGCAGTATCTGTATGTTACCTCCCTTGGTCTGGTCCACTTCCCAGATACATTTCCAAGAGATTTTAAGCCTGGCTCTAGATGTCGGAGGAGGGACAAGCATGGGCTCAACTGTAAACTTTCACAGGACCTTCCTCTCTTCAGCACACACAGCATCTAACCCCTGCCTGCAGCTTGACCTTGTTCCCAGAATATAAACAGCCTCTGTAATTCCTCTGACTCGTCTGCCCCAAAGAGCAAACCTCCCTCTTCTGCCCAGGTCAGGAGGGTAGGAGACCTCACTGCCTGAACTGAGGGTCTTAAAGCACATCCTGGTTTACAGTGTGCAGCCTCAGGGCACTCAGTGCTTTCAATCTCTGGGTTCTTTGTTCTACCCTCACTCTGCACTCCTCAACCTTTTACTCAGGGATCTAGATTACCGTTTTACTTTATTGGAAAATGAATAAAACTCCAGCTATTACCTTATTGGAGGTAAGGTAGGGAGGGAACAGAGGGAACAGAGGAAAATACATGTACTCCACCTACATGTTAAACCAGAAGGAAGTCTTGCATTCTTTTTAAACAAATTCCTTGTGACACTAAGGCTTGTGTCTGTATGCCTATGCATATATGGACTGTTTTTATTAACATTTGGTAAATCAAAAGGACCAATTTTCAAATATTAAAGAACAACTTGTCTAAATTTCAACTGATAAAAAGCTATGCTAGTTTTTAAAGCCATAGATTATCTTGTTTTGAAGACTTAAAATCATTCTGTTTGGGAAAATGAAGATTTTCCAAACTCTGTATATAACTTTAAGACAATAAGAGGGAATGTTCTATAATAGAGACTGTCTGGGGGCATTTATTTTATTAATTTATTAATGAATGCATTAATTTATATAGAAAGAAGGCTTCTACTAGATAGTGAATATGCATTTGGGAGGTAACAATTTTTCTCTCTCCCTTAGGGGTGTCACATGGTGACGGAAGAACTTCATTCCATAACCTTTGAAACACAGATCTGCCTCTATGGCCTGACCATGGATTTGGAGGTAGATGTTTAAAGAACATATACTATTTACTAATGACATCTGCAGGAATTGGTCAGCATTTATAGATGTAAACTCGGTATTTTCTAGGTTTTTGTACATTCCCTATTCATTATTTTGTTTTAATTTAGCAAATCAATATGTCAAATGTTCACTAGTTCACATAATATTCTGGTTACATATAATTGACAAAAGCTTGTGCATAGCTGGGTGTGGTGGTTCACACCTGTAATCCCAGCACTTTGGGAGGCCAAGGTGGGTGTATTGTTTGAGCCCCAAAATTCAAGACCAGCCTAGGCAACAAGGTTAAACTCCCATCTCTGCTAAAAATACGAAAATTTGCTGGGTGTGGTGGCATGTGTCTGTGGTCCCGGCTACTCAGAAGGCAGAGGCAGGAGGATTGATTGAGTCCAGGAGGTGGAGGCTTCAGTGAGTGATGATCATGCCACTTCGCTCCAGCCTGGGTGACAGAGTGAGTGAGACCCAGTCTCAATAAATAAATACATAAATAAATAAATAAATAAATAAATAAATAAATAAAACAAAAAGCTCAAGGGTATTATGAACTCTATGTACATTAAATAATTTGTTGCTCAGATTCTTGGTTGTTTTCTGAGATTTCCTGAGTCATGCTTTTTTCCCCCCAAACCAGACCAACTCATTGCCTGTGGTGATGATTTCCAATGTCAGTCAGTTACCTAATGCTTGGGCATCCATCATTTGGTACAACGTGTCAACCAACGATTCCCAGGTAGACTCTATTTCTACCTCACCTTCTATAATTCTATTTGATTTGTTTTATTGCCAACAAATACATCTGCATCAAAAGATGTGTGTGCCAGGGGGGTGTGAGGGTGAGAGTTGCTTTATTTCTAGTTGTGTGTTTCCTCTCATGTCATATGTAAAGTATTATGTTCTGATGTTTGTGGATCCTGAGAGAGTTCTGCTGGCAAAAGTAACAGACAGATATTTGTTATTTCTGAGAATCTGGTCAGTTCCCAACTATGTGTATAAGAGTTCCAGGGCCATTCTATGGCTCTATTAACTAAGCTGGGGGAAACTTCTTAGTTAACTCCTCCTCAGCTGCTTCTGGTCCCACCTTGTACATAAAGTCTCTTCTACAAAGGTGGAGAAGTGGTTTCCAAGTAAGTAATTAGAATATTCATCAATCTTGCCTAATCATATTCTGACAGCACACATTTTTCAAGTAAATTACAGATTTCATCCATCCTAGGCTCAAACTGGGTTTTGATGCCATCTGGTGGTTGTGACACTGACTCAAAATTGGCCTCAAGTCACAAAGCCAGCAGTGAATAGATGTTCTTCTTATAAGACAACCAGGGAAGGGAGTGGCAAAAAACATGTGTCAGCACTTCCCCTTGCACCCCTCCTTCAAAACCTCAGTGTGTTGTCCTGGAAACCTCTAAGGTCTGGAGAAAATAGGTCAAATGTAAATAACAACATTTCTTCTTAATTCAAAGCAAATGTTCCCACCAAAGGGAAGAATTCTTGTACTTTAGATCCCAGCGGTAAGAATGAGATCATAATGAATCAGCTGTAAGTGTTCTTTCTTCTTAATTCAATGTTTCTAATAAGGAAAAAACGAGAAAAATGACCCAGCCCTACTCCTTCTCCTCCTCAAGTGCCCCAGCATCTTAGAAAAATTAACTGCAGAGAGGAAGACTGAGCAGAGTACCCCCAAAAGAGTAGAACTTACCAGATAAATCACCTGGTCTTTAAGGTGAAGGACAGCCAATGCCCCTGATATTAAATGTTGATCCCCATTAGACTATACTTGTTCAGCTTTCTTCCAACTCCAGGAAGTAGGAGTGATGGGCTTCTTCTCTGTTCTCCAGCCTCACAGAGCAGTGCTGCACTTAGCTTTCTTCAGCAACCTCCTTTTGTAAGAAAGGCACCAAAGTCATCACACACATTACCCCAGATTTACATGGCTCTAGGATGAGAATCTAGAGCTAAAGATAATATACAGCTGTTAAAATACAGATTCACAGCCTAGTTACAGAACCAATCTGAACAACTAACCCTGGTTTCTCCTCTTGATTCTGTCCTGCTTCAAAACCTACGTCCTTAGGCCTTGATTGTATTCTGTGTTTTCTGGTCACTTTTCCAGGCACCATTCCCAGGTTCACATAAAACCATCTCCCTAGAAATTCTTTTTCCTCATTCCTCCTCTTCCTACTGCCCATTCTTTGTTGGATGCTTTGTCCTCTTTTATTCCCACCTTCTGAAATCTCTTGAGTTGGTTCTTTTTCTTGATTAATCTAAGCCCTGTTTAGCTCATGTTTGCAACGGCCTTCTCCAGGCAACACATTGGATTTCTGAATTCTTTCTTTCCTCTTCTTAGAACATTTTTCTTGACTTTCAGACATCTGTTTTCCAGTAATCTGGAATAGAGGTCGTATGTTCCACTGTTGTTGGCCAATTTCTGGCACAAGCTTGTTTGTAGTTGACCACACAGAATATTTTCTTATTTAACTGGGCACCGTGGTGCACACCTATAGTTTCAGCCACTTGAGAGGCTGAGGCAAGAGAATTTCTTGAGCCCAGGAGTTCAAGTCCAGCTTGGGCAACATAGCAAGATCATTTCTCTGTTTTTGTTTTTTAAATTATCTAGAGCAAACAAGAAAAGACTACTATGCTGTCCATAAAACAGGAATCTGAGGTTAATCTTAATATTGTAGGATCACCTTCCCTGACCTGGGAATTTACTGTTTCTGACACTTTGGGATGATTGGTCTGGTCAAGGTAAAACTTGTGCCAACCCCATGATAAACCAATTAAATAACATGATATAAGTTTTGTTTAGGATGAATATTGTTCTAGAAAAGAGTATCTGTCAAATTACTTGTTGGACAGTGTTAAGCACTTGCATTGGTAGACTGACAGGGAAAAGTTAAAGAGATGTCAAGTGATTCTTCTCAAGTAAGATGGAGCCTGATTATATATATACATGAAGAACAAGGAGACTTTTAGGAAAAGACATCATTCTTAGGAACAACAGAGATGAGATGATAATTTATATTAACTTAGGTTGGCCTAAAGAGTTTAAATTAGGAATGCAATATATTGAATTACAGTGTCGTCGGTGTAATTGTTATTGGCTGTATTGAATCTGTATGGATCTGCAGCAACCTCAATTCTTGCCTCCTCAGAAGAAAGAATTCAGCTGAGGGGCATAAGACAGAAGGAGTGACCGAGGCAAGCTTCAGAACAGGAGTGACAGTTTGTTAAAAAGCTTTAGAACAGTAGGAAAAGGAAGGAAAGGAGGAAAGTACAACTTGGAAGAGGGCCAAGTGGGCGAGTTGAGAAACGAAGTGTGAAGCTCAACCTCTTAGGGTCTTGTGTTACTTCTCCCTACTCCTGAGATATTACTGGGAAGCTGCTGATTGGTTTTAGGTGTTTTCTATTAGGACACCGTCGTTCCCTGGCACCAGCTGTGACCAATTATGACTTTGAGACACTCTTAATAATTGCCTGGCCATCACCTAATGGCTCACCCAACACTCCTAGTGTGTGTGTGCAGAACAGGGGGAGACCTTTCTTGCCCTGCTCATATGTAACTAGCTACCCACTGTAACATAATTAACAAATCATCATCATGATTCTATTTCAGAACTTGGTTTTCTTTAATAATCCTCCACCTGCCACATTGAGTCAACTACTGGAGGTGATGAGCTGGCAGTTTTCGTCGTATGTTGGTCGTGGCCTTAATTCAGATCAACTCAATATGCTGGCAGAGAAGCTTACAGGTGAGAGCTGGTAGATAGGGAGGATTTGCCTCTGTTTTTGGTGCTCAAGCATTTTAAATAACCAGGACGCTATTACTACTATTAATAATAATGATGATGATCATAATTATGGAATGCCTACTATATTGCCAGGCACAGAGCTAAGTGTTATATTATCTTTGATTCTCAGAAAAGTCTTCGAGGCTAACCTTATTCTATCTATTTTATAAATGAGTGTATTGGAGTGCAGAAGTTAAGTGACTTGCCATGGATGCGTGGCTAGTACACAGCAGAACCAAGCCACAGACCAGACCTGTGCAGGTCCAAAGGCCCTCCCTGTCTATTCCTCACCCCAGTCTCCAGGCTGTTTCCACTAAATATGATGTGAAGCCTTAACCGTGCCTTGATCGTTCATATTAATGTCTCAGTTGACATTAACCAGCTGGAAAATGACTGATTCCTTCACAAAGTCCAGGAAATGTAATAGAAATTTTAAAACACCTGGGTAATACTTAATTCTGCATACCAAGAAGGTTTCAGCTTTGACTGAGATTTCTAAAGTTTGCAAACTAGAGTGTTGGTACTACATGTACCAACTATAATCCAAACTTTTTCTAAAAGAATTCTAAGAGAGCTGCATTTTGACAAGTCAGGGTTTAACATATTTAGCATCAAAAAGAGTTAAAATTAGATCTATATGCATTTCTAGTTAAAATACGGCCAAAGATCCATTTGTGCAGCAGAAGTAGAATCGTGTGATTTAAGCTTGATTAACATGGTGCTGGGATGGTTGCCACTTGTGCCTACTCTTGGATCAATACGTACTTAAATAAATTAGGACTTCAGAAAATATTACAGAGTTTACTTAATATAAATACATGTTTTGATCCTTATTTAATTTGTAAGCAGCAATAGTAAGCATTCAATAAATATTTGTTAAGCTTTTAAACATGTAGTATAGATAGCAATCACATCCTTTCAGACCTTTATCAAATTATTATTAGGAGTATAATTTCCCTAAAACTTTAGATGTAAACACTTGTATCCTTTCACTGCCCTGGATCAAAACAGCCAATGGCTACTTATTGTCTAATAGATTTCTAGTCTATTTTTTCCATCTTAATAGACAACATTCCTGGTAATCTAGTTACACCTAACTTACACAAATTTGTTTTATAATGTTCATTCACCAACATTAGGCAGTTCTTCCTGTCTCCTATATGAGCCATGTCTGTGACCATCATGCCTTGTCCTAAATTATTCTTTCTCTCCTTCCTCTCCTCTGACAATTTATATTCTACCCACCCATATCCTAGATACTCACCTGCTTTCTAAACCATAGTTTCTCCACCAAAAATCTTCTTTTCTAGATAATAAATTTCTTAGGAGCAAGGATGATGTCTTATATTTGTACTGTACCTAACAGTACATTGCAAACCCATATCAGGTGCTTAAGAAATGCTTGAAAGGGAAGAGGGAAAATATCTAAATTGAGTACAAAATTGAAACGTCTCATTGTTGAATGAAAAAATCTCATTATTGTCTTTCATTTCAGGCCATTCTAGCTACAGTGATGGTCACCTCACCTGGGCCAAGTTCTGCAAGGTACAAACAGGGGAGGGGGGGACATCATTTAGATACATGTTTTTAATACAATGTGCCTTTCTAAATCTCTATATTACTACCTGAGGTTTTGAGAATTTCCCAGATAAGGATATTTTTAAAAGAAACTAAGGTGTTCTTCAGTTTAAAGATCATATTTTATTGAAAAATTTATCTTACATTATTATATCAACATTATTACTTAAATAATCATTGTCTTAAAGTGCTTGTTTATTCCTATAGGAACATTTACCTGGTAAATCATTTACCTTTTGGACATGGCTTGAAGCAATATTGGATCTAATTAAGAAACACATTCTTCCCCTTTGGATTGACGGGTGAGTTATAGGCTATATTTTTCATATGATTTAATTATGTTCTTTTTTTCTGTTGTCATTGGTTTTCTTCTATTTCTTTTTCTCTTATCCATGTTTGGTACCATAGAAAAAATAGTTGCAATTTCTTATTCTTCCTGGAGTATCACTATGTATATTAATCTACATATAAGTATTTCAGATATGAATGACTTTTGATTATACTCAAAACAAACTTTAGGTCTGCTCTTTGTAGATGCACTAATGATCAGATAAAATCATGCATGTTCTATTTTTAGGTATGTCATGGGCTTTGTTAGCAAAGAGAAAGAACGGCTCTTGCTAAAGGATAAAATGCCTGGTACCTTTTTATTAAGATTCAGTGAAAGCCATCTCGGAGGAATAACTTTCACCTGGGTGGACCATTCTGAAAATGGTATATACTTACTAATGTTTATTTATGTGAAATTCGTTTTCTTAAATTTGGTTACTAGTCTTTCAGTTTTTGTAAGTGAATAGTGTGTTGATCTGTTTGTCATGTGTTCAGTGGGTCTGAATATTCGTTGTTGCAGCTGTCTCAGAACAGGGTACCTATGAATTCCAAAATACACTGTTCTATTGTATGAACAGTCTATACTGTCCAGACAGCAGAAGGTCTGACGTTGAAGTGATATGAACTGACAAGTCACTCCAGTGACATGAACATAATGTGGGCAGGAAAAAATGGTCACAAGGAATATGTACAGGAACCCTGTATATTTCTCCAATTTCTGTTTTTCAAGGGGAAGTGAGATTCCACTCTGTAGAACCCTACAATAAAGGCCGATTGTCTGCTCTGCCATTCCCTGACATCCTGCGAGACTACAAAGTTATCATGGCTGAAAACATTCCTGAAAACCCTCTGAAGTACCTATATCCTGACATTCCCAAAGACAAAGCCTTCAGTAAACACTACAGCTCCCAGCTTGGTGAAGGTTAGGTTCTTTTGTTTTTTTTTTTCCTGAAGATTTTGGAAAATAACCTCATATTGGAGCAAAGTAAATGAAGTTCCTCTTTTTGTTTACTCTAATTTTTGTAAGATCTAAGGGGCATACAGAGGTCAAAGTATTAGAAATGAAGTGGTATGTCAGCAGTTCCTGAAAAGGGACCGCTGGACTGTCTAGCACTAGCAAAGTAATAAGCAGCTGCAACTAGACTTCACCATGGCTGTGGGGGCCTCTCAGGGCCACTTGAAGAGCTTCAGTTTTCTCCTTCGCAAGACAGAAGTGGTGCAGACTTCATGTCTATGACTAAAGGAAAGGAAAAGAAAGAGGGGATAATGATAAGACGCTTTTAATAGCAAAGCAAGTCTGTATTTTACAAAGGAACCCCCAGGTTTATAAGTTTCATATTTTTAACCTTACTGTGGTCTTGCACCTCAGGGTATTTGTTCATTTTCCAGGGAGGGTATCTGTGAATCTGTGCTTCATCCTCTCCCTCCTCCCACACTCCCAGCCTGCCTTTCCTGGTTGTATCCTAAGGACCTAGAACAATGCCTGGCCAAAACAGGCCTTCAGCAAATATTATTCTAATACATAAAAGAAAATTCATTAAATTGCTATGTAATTTTAAGGTACATTCACCATTCTCTTTCTTTAATGAAAGTGTATACAATCCATAAAAATCTTCATCTGTAGCAACAAAATCTCTGGGTACCATCATGTAGAATATCCTACAGTTGTCACTCACAGAGTGGCAGCCACCTGACTTCATGCCCTTTGAAATAAACAAAAATACAAAAGAAAATAAAAGCAAAAAACCAGTGGCTCTTCAATGACTTTCAACAGCTAATCAAATGAAATAACAAATATCAATGCAACAAATTAGGATTGGGAAATTGGAACAAATACTGGTTCAGCGTGGTATACCACAGAAGTTTGGGGAATTTTTCCAAGGTGAGGCTTGCACATGACGGTTACTACAGTACAAAGATACTTTCGGGAACACTGACGTTTGTACTTCAAAAACGTTTGTAATCATAAGGTTCTGATTGCTGTCAATTTTAATGAAAATAACTGGGTTTTATCTCCCGGAACCTGACTCAATCAGTCCTTATAATCAAACTTAAATGAAACAGAAGATAGGTAATATAGTTGATTCTCAATTTTTCCCACACAGTTTAGAGGCATTAATATGTAAAGTCAGATTAGGCCTGCCAAGAGATTTGTTTTTCTCTTCTTGCACTTATCTAAAAGATTATGTCCCCTATTTAACAAAACATTTTTGTGGATCACTGAACAACTATATTATCTCTCTTCCTCTTAGCATTGCTAATATTTTTCTAGACACTTTCTTCCCCACTTTTATTGATAATATTGACATTTTTTCCCCAACATTGTACCTTTTTTCTTTTCTAGTTTCAAGACCAACAGAAAGAGGAGACAAAGGTTATGTTCCTTCTGTTTTTATCCCCATCTCAACAATGTGAGTAATCTTAGTCACATGTAAAATATCTTTTAGTAAATGCTTTCCTATAGGAGATTTAAAGGTAGAGCAGAGTACACATAACTGAGAGCAAAGCATTTTAATGTTCAGTATCCCATTTCCTTTAATACATAAAGCTAGACTTCATGGCACACTTAGCACAATCTATTGTGACTAGAATTATAAAATTTACCTTTTACATGCCATATATTCCATAGCAAGTTGAATGTTCAGATATGAAATGAATTAGACAACTCAGTGTCACAAATAGATGAAGCCCTAGAAATGAGTTCCTGACACAGTAAGTCACCATGAGATAGGATTACTTTTTAATCCTTGTCCACATTGACCTTGTTATCTCTTTAAGCCGAAGTGATTCAACGGAGCCACAATCTCCATCAGACCTTCTTCCCATGTCTCCAAGTGTGTATGCGGTGCTGAGAGAAAACCTGAGTCCCACAACAATTGAAACTGCAGTATGTTCCCTTTATTTTCCACTGCTGGTCAAAGGCATTTCCAATGATGCAAAGGTGGTGTGTGAATCAAAGGGGCTGAAATTCTGCCTGGGCAGGGAGAAAACACATGTTTTGGAACAAATTCATAAGCATAACACAAAAGATGTCTGGATGGTCCTGCGTGTTGCTGATGTTCTGAGTGTTGAAAGCAGACACCTTCACTTACTTAAACTGCTTTAAGTTCTTCCCCTCAGAAACCACCAGAGGGCAAAATATTCCTATACCCTACTCAAGCACACTATCCCTGCTTGCACCGTGGGCCCTCTCATTCCCCACCACTCTCTACTTTAGCAAACAACATTTATTGGTCATGATTTATAAACCAAGTATACTATCTAGTCTACTAGTTACTTAATATCTATTAAACCTAGTTTGCTGTCTTAACAAGGCAAGCCTCACAAATTGCAATTTTTCTTGATTATGACTTGCATTTCAAGAACCTGGAGCCTGGTCAAGTAATATATGAATAACAGTCAATAGCATAATAATGCTCTCCTTTTTGAGAATTGAGTCATAATCTTTAATGCAATAATGTTAGTTAGGATACATCCTATTTTCTCTTATCCACCAATACTGTCAATGGGTTCAAACCCCCAATTTACATGAAAGTGAACATACATCAGAATAATATAATAGAAACTTGGAGGGACTTTAAACCTCAAAAAATTGTATCTGGCTGGTTTTTAGACCTCTTGAAGATTTCCATAGACGAAAATTTCACTTTCCTTTGATAGTTTATTCTATGTCAGTTCCCTTAAATCATCAAGTTATTTATGTCTAATTGAACTTTTGCTACATTTTGCACCCAGTTCATTATGTTTTTGGTGGATGAACAGGCCTTTTTATTAAAATGGTTTTCTGTCTACTTGAAAGGTACCTTGTATTTTAGATTGATCAACCCCAATTACTTTTGCAAATACTTAAATTACTTTAATAGAAAAATTATAGAGAAATTAGTAGAAAAGAGGAGGTTTATTTACACAAGAAATTGTGATTTATTTGCAAATCAGTAGTTTCCTCAAAGATTATTTTCATTTTTAATTTTAGATGAAGTCTCCTTATTCTGCTGAATGACAGGATAAACTGACACACCAAGAAAGGAAGCAAATGAAAAAGTTTAAAGACTGTTGTCTGCCCAACGACCGCATTTTATTTCTTCAGCTTTGTAAATACCGGGTTCTAGGAAATGTTTGACATCTGAAGCTCTCTTCTCACTGTCATGGCACCCCCCAGTTGGGAGTGTTGTGACTGAAATGCTAGAAACCAAAGTTTCAGATAAACTTGCAAGATAAGACAACTTTAAGAAACCAGTGTGAATAACAATATTAACAGAGGACTTGCTTGCCTGTGTTTGGTTTATTTCTGATTTGTCTCTCTGGTGTTACTTATGAATTTCACTAGAAAATGCAAATGTTAATGTTTCAGGGTGGGTCAAGAATAACAAAGTCACACCTACACCTCAGCAGGAAGGCCTGAGGAAAAAGCCAAATAAGCCAATCAGTGTGATGAGTGCTACCAGGCATGGTGATCACAGTAGATCCAAGATGAAAATCATGATGGAACATTAGCAGAAATTCACAGGACATCCAGGGTTGAATTATGAAGCCTCCTGAGTACCATGTCAACATTATCCCAACTATGGGGTTCAACAGCTGCTGGTATCACAGGAGGAGGGATCCAGAGTCATTCCTGGTGGTATCTTGGGCCAATTGCACTGATTTTACAGGTATTATAAGCAGACACACGGGTCAAAACAACAACTCATGAAATGAGGACTAGGAGAAAAACAGCTCTGGCCACGGGTGACTGATTTTATTCATAGGTTGTTCATTCTTCATCTGTAGAAGAGGTTAGACTATGTGTGTTCTATGATCCTTCCCAGCTCTAATGGTCTCTCTGGTCCCATGAATCCAACCTGAGACTAGGAAAAGAGATTTAGAGTGAGAAATTCCATTCCTTCAATTTTCTTTAGTAAAGAGGAAGGGTAGGTAGTTTCCTGAATAGTAATGTATGTGAATTGCAAGTCTATTTTGGTCCTTGCCCCACCCCTACTGGATGTTTAGTGGTGCCATTGCCCAGCTGCTGTCCTTAGTAATAGCATGGAGCCCTCCAATGCTCAAGACCTGGAGAGTTCTCTATGCCTGCTGAGCCCTGGGGATGCTGCTGCGCCAGGTGAGGAAGTCATCTACTGAGGCATCTGCCGTGATCAGATGCAGGAAAATCCAGAACCAGGTTTCCAAGGTGAGCCCTGACTGCAGTCAGAGAAGGCAGCCCCCTCTGAAGGGCTGTTATTCAATTCCTTCTGCCCACCTCCTGTCCTCCAAACAAACCAAACAGGCAGAGGCTAATGTTTGATGGAAAAGAGTTCAAGGGAAAAAGGTTTTTGGTATAACCTGCCCTTTCACTTAGAGAGATACCATCTGAGCAATCTCATCCCACCCACATGTGCCCAACTGGCTCCTAGATTGTTCCTATGGAACAAACTCTCCACCTGCTCCAAGGCCAGTTCCTTTACTGTTTTGTGAGCTCCCAAATGCTTTTAGAGTGAAGGCATCTGTTTGATGGAAGGTTCATCTTACTGGAGGGGCATCCTCCCGGTCTCTACTTCCTTCCACAAAAACCGGTTTCCTAAAATTTGCCTGACATATATATATCAACTGGCAGCAGAATTGGATGAAATAATTTAAACAGGAGCATGACTATTACAGTTTTATCTTTAAAGAAGTAATTTCCTACCAGGAAGTGCTCTTGAACAATTGGATTTAGACAAAAAAAGATTGCAGAAGCTCTTTGCTCCTTGGAATTTATCAAAAGTACAATGGACTTCTACCTATTTCACAGAAGTTTTTTAAAAAGCTTGTCAATATAGAGCCTGGTAGCAGAATGCCAGGGTTTTCTGTGATCACAGTCATCCTTGTTATTTGGGGGTAGAAAATAAAGGACATCTGTGGTTCACTTTCTACAATATGGACAATGGCCATGTTATAAAAGCTCAATGAGTGGCTATTTTTATTTAGATTCAGAAAACCAAAATTAATTGGCCCCAGAGTTATCGACCCCCAAATTATTGACCCCAGAGTTAAGACTTATTTCCCAAGAGTGTGATTCTTGTGCTCTAAAAATCATTTCTGTGGGGGTATATTATTTCATTTTGTGTTGCTATAAAGGAATACCTGAGGCTGGATAATTCATAAAGAGATTTATTTGGTTTTGCAGAGTATACAAGAAGCATGGAACCTGCATCTGCATGTGAGGCCCTTAGGCTGCTTCTACTCACTGCAGAAGGCAAAAGGAAGCTGGTGTATGTAGAGATCACATGGCAAGGAAGGAAGCAAAAGCCAGAGAGTGCGGAGGTGCCAAGCTCTTTATAACAACCAGCTCTTATAAGAACCAACAGAGTAAGAATTTATTCACGTCCCCCACCATGGGGGGCGGTATTAATCTATTCATGCATCCACCCCCATGACACAAACACCTGCCATTAGGTCTCACCTTTAACACTGGAATCAAATTTCAACATGTGATTTGGGGAGACAAACATCCAAACTATAGCATTCCTCCTCTGGCCCCCCTAAACTCATGTCTTCCTAATGTTGCAAAATATAATCATCCCTTCTCAATAGTTCCAAACTCTTAACTTGTTCCATCATCAACTTGAAAATCCAAAGACTCATCTGAGACTCAAGGCAAATTCCTTCCAAGTATGAAACTGTAAAATCAAAAACAAGTTGTTTCTTTTCAAGATGTAATGGTGGTACACATTTTGGATAAACAGTCCCATCCCAAAAGGAAGAAATCATCCATAAAAAAGGAGCAATGGTACCCATGCAAGTCCAAAACCCAGGAGGACAGATATTAAATCATAAAGCTCCAAAATAATCCTTGACTCCACGTCCTGCATCCTGGGTACACTGGTATGAGGAGTGGGCTCCCACGATCTCAAGCAGCCCTACTCCCAAGGCCACTCACTGGCTGCTCTCACAGGTTCGAGTTGAATGTCTATAGCTTTTCCAGGCTGAGGTTGCACACTACTGATGACTATACTTCTTGGGTCCTTGCAGCATCAGCCCCAATCCCATGGCTCCACTAGGCATTGCCCCAGTGGGACTCTGTGGTGGCTCTGCCCCTGCAGCAGACTTCCACCCGAGCATCCAGAATTTCCTATACATCCTCTGAAATCTAGGTGGAAGCTGCCAAGCCTCCATGACTTTTGCATTCTGGGCACCTGCAGACTTAATACTGCGTAGACACCAGCAAGGCTTATGGCTTATGCCCTCCAGAGCTGCAACATGAGTCCTACCTTGGGCCACCGAGGTCATGTGAGCCATGGCTGTGCCATCTGGAGTGGTGGAGATATGCGAAGCAGCAGACTTGTCACAGGGCCGCAGTCTCAGGCCTGTCCTCTCAAACCATTCTGTCATCCTAGGATTCTGGGCCTGTGATGGGAGGGTCAGCCTCAAAGGCATTTGAGAAAAAGGCATTCTGAAATGCCTTCAGGGCCTTTTTCTCATTTTTTTAACTAGTGACATCTGGCTCTGGTTTAGTCACAATAATCTCTTTAGCAATGGTTGCTCTGTAGCACCTGCAGATTCCTTATACCCTTGGATTCCTTGCCTAAAAATGCTCTTTCCTTCTCTATCACATGGCTAGTCCATGAAATTTCCAAATTTGTATATTTTGCTTCCCTTTTAATTACAAATTACACTTTTCAGTAACTCCTTAGCTCCCAACAATTTAGCATAGGTTTTTAAAAGTAGCCACACCACTTCTTGAGTACTCTGCTACTGAAATTTCTTCTGCCAGATACCCTAGGTCTTTATTCTTAAGTTTAGCCTTCTACAAAGTCGTAGGGCCTGAATACAATGCAGCCAAATTCTTTATTACCGGTTAACAAGGTGACCTTTGCTCCAGTTTTCAATAAGTTCCTCATTTCCATCTGAGACTTTGTCAACATGACCTTTACATTTCTATCAGCATTTTGGTCACAACACTCAATCTCTAAGAAGTTCCAAACTTCTTCTGAGTCCTCCAAACTCTTCCAAACCTCTGCCTGTTACTCAGTTTCAAGCCACTTTCACATTCATAAGTATCTTTATCACAACCTCCCGTCCTCAGTGCCAATTTTCTTAGTCTGTGCTGTGTTGCTCAAAAGGAATATCCGAGGCTGAGTAATTTATAAACAATAGAGCTTTATTTTGCTTATGGTTCTGCAGAAGCAGCATGACACTGGTGCCTGCATCTGATGAAGGCCTTAAGCTGCTTCGAGTTATGGAGGAATGGGAAGGGAACCTGGCATATGCAGAGATCACATGGTGAGAGAGGAAGCAAGAGGGAGTGGGGAAGGCACCTGGCTTTTTTTTTTTTTAGCAACTAGCACTGTCAGGAACTAACAGAGTAAGAACTTAACTTTCCCACACCCAGAGGGTGCTAATCTATTCATGAAAGATATGTCTCCATGACCCAAACACCTCACATTAGCTCCCACCTCCAATACTGGGATCAAATTTCAACCTGAGCTTTGGGGAGACAAACATCCAAATCATAGCAGAGGGCAATGAGGTTTTGTCAGGCGAGTCCTGGGGAGATCTGTTTAGTTAAAGATAAGGTGTGCTACATGAGCAGGAGATGCAATGGGAAGGGAATTTGGACCATGTTTTGTCCAAATTCTACCCCAGAATATTTTTTTCTGCCTACTGTGACTTAGTCAATTCAGACTGCTATAAGAAAGTACCATAGACTGGGTGGCTTATAGAAAAACAGATTATTTCTCACAGTTCTCGGGGCTGGGAGTCTAAAATCAGGGTGTCAGTCTGGTCTAGTTCTGTTGAGAGCCCTCTTCCAGGTTGCAGACTGTCAATTTCTCATTGTATCACAGGATAGAAAGAGAGCTAGAGAGCTCTCCAAGTCTCTTTTAGAAGGGCATTAATCCCATTCTTGAGGGCTCAGCCTCATGATCTAATCACCTCCCCAAAGCTCCACCTCCTACTACTATCACTCTGGGGACTAGCAATTCAACATACAAATTTTCAGAGGGGAACACAAACATTCAGTCCAGCGGCAAATAAACAAACTAGTGGCAAATAAGCGGTATTTAATGAAATTGAAACAAAACATAGATTTAGTTTCACTTCTCCTTTCACCCATCCCAGATCAATCACAGATATACATTTTGCTAATGACTTTTCAAATTTAAAAAATCACTTTAACGAATTGTACTATCAATGCCTTCATCTGTAATAAATGCTGAAAGAAAGCCAATGAATTTCATCAAAAACTAAGGTAGCAAGAACCCTACCCCACCAAAGCAGCATAAAAAATGAATAAACCTCTGGC